TCAATTGGTTTCATTTGGATTTTCGTCTCGGGTAGACGTAAACAATCATATCTGATAGATACATATCTGTAAAACCCAATGCACACACACAGGCCCGATTTCACAAAGGAGGTTTGTCGACAAACCGTTTTTTTTTACACGTTTCAGACCAAGCTTTGTCGACAAACCTCCTTTATGAATTCGGGTCACAATGTCTGTGATCAGAGTTTCTTTGCTTGTATCATGTGGCTCTGCCCGCGAAGGATTTCTATTTAATTTCGACATTCATTTTATTTTATCTTGCCAGGATATTACATGCTCTTCAGTGTTGGTTTTGAAGCAGAAGGTCGGGTAGCCTGGTTGGTCAGTGTACCGCAACCTCCCACCCAGGGATGCTTCTCATTCTGGTACCATATGTACGGTCAACGTAAGTAAAACTCAGTCCTTAAGGCACAATATCAAAACATGTATAAGGATCGGTCGTATATAACCTGTAATATCAAAACATGTATAAGAATCGGTCGTATATAACCCGTAATATCAAAACATGTTTAAGGATCGGTCGTATATAACGCGTAATATCAAAACATGTATAAGGATCGGTCGCATATAACGCGTAATATCAAAACATGTATACGGATCGGTCGTATATAACCCGTAATATCAAAACATGTATAAGGGTCGGTCGTATATAACCCGTAATATCAAAACATGTATAAGGATCGGTCGTATATAACCCGTAATATCAAAACATGTATAAGGATCGGTCGTATATAACCCGTAATATCAAAACATGTATAAGGATCGGTCGTATATAACCCGTAATATCAAAACATGTATAAGGATCGGTCGTATATAACCCGTAATATCAAAACATGTATAAGGATCGGTCGTATATAACCCGTAATCTTAAAACACGTATAAGGATCGGTCATATATAACCCGTAACGCTCCATTAACTGAATTGAACCGTAAATGCTATTAAATCCACCAGGTTCACGTTGTGCCTGTGTATTAAAAGCCATTGCTAATGTAAATGAATATAACATTTATAATACAACCTCCCACCCACAAATACTGATAATTCTGGTATCTCATTATCATGTGTATCGACAACGTCCTTAATTCGAACATCTAATGATTGGCGGGTCAAGCTAAGATTGAAGGATTGGGACATATAACGGACTTTTATATACGATAACTTAAATATGCGTGGTTACCTTTTATTGTGAAATATATCAACATCAACAAAAACATGCAAGATAAAAAAAAGTGAAAACCAAAAGTCCTTTTGTAGCCTCAATAAGACAGCAAATTCGGTCTAATCTGATTATGACGTGTTATTTTCGTGTCAGTGATCGGACACATTGTGTGTTTAACCATTTAAAATGTCTTTAAAGCTCTGCTATAATAGCACTTTTATTGTTTTACGATAAATATGGAATTAACCAGCGTGCTTTCATAAAACAATGAAATGAAACTGTTTGATTTTTTCGAAACAATTAAACAGGTGTTGGAGAGCTGAACGTATATGCGGAGGATCTGTTGAGTGGAGTCAAAGCCCTAGAGTGGAATATGACTGGCGACCAAGGCAACCAGTGGGTAAAAGGTCAAATTAACCTTAACCAGGTCACAGGGTTCAGTATGATCTTTGAAGGTGTCGTAGGAACGGGTTCCGCAGGGGACATTGCCATTGATGATACATTCTTCCTGCCCGGTCAAATGTGTAACGGTGAGTGACCAAGGTAGCAATACGACGTTGGCCCAACGTCACCAACATGACGTTGGGCCAACGTCGAGCTGACTTCATGCCAAACCCGGCATTTTCCACCATGTACTTACTTGCTTACTGCCCATTATGCCTCCTGGCACATAATAATAATAATAATAATAGCTCGTTCTTATATAGAGCTTTTCAGGCATGGAGGCCCTCTCAAAGCCCTTTACAGATAAGTATATTATTACTCCGTTCATTGGATTCAGGCTTACCCGCACACAATGTATGCACATTCTCCACTCCCTGGGCAGCATTCCAGCCAGGCGTCATATTTACAAGCGCACACTTGCTAATCTAACCACATTAGCTTTCGCATCCTACCGGGTACCCATTTAACACCTGGGTGGAGAGTGGCAAATGTAGATCAATGTCTTGCCAAAGGACATTAGTGCTGCGGCAACAAAAGTCTTCCACTCCTTCCGATCCTGGGCCAGTCTTTGGATGGTATCCCATGTGTGGTTAAGGTCTTTAATCTCCCCTTCCACAGTTATCCACCAATTGTTTTTAGGACGTCTCCTCTTTCTTTTGCCGTCTGGTGTCCAGTGGAGGGCTGTTCGTGTGATGTCATCTATGTTCTTTCTCATAACATGTCCGATCCATCTCCACCTTCTTCCCGTGATGATGTTCTCCATGCTATTGATTGATTGATTGATTGATTTGTTTTATTGTCCACATTGAGTGGAAATTCTTCTTTCACATGGTTACAACTATGTACAGTATATAGAGCATAGGTCAAATTTAACACATTTTAAGTTACACATTGCTCATTAATAAACAATTTTAATTTAAACAATAAATCATATAAACAATAAATCAATAAACAATAAATCTTGATGGCATTGGGCATACAGTGCTTCATTTGAAATGGTGTTTTAAAAAAATACGGCATAATCTTCTCAGACTCTTTGTGTGGAAGACCGATAGCTTATTGAGGTCATTTTTCCACCATGTGCCATGGCCCAATTTTAGCTGAAGTTCGCTCGCCAACTGCAACCGTGCCGACCATGACTGTTGGCCCAACGTCGTATTGTTATCTGGAGAGTAATGAAAGACCAACGCTTTAAACAAACCAACTTTGGCTGGCACCATTAACAATGTTTACCTGACAGTTACCCAGATAGGGTACCAACTTATTGACGTCATATATATATATACATATATTGATGTATTAAACTCATGTACGCGTCATCATGATTGAACTTTTGTTATTGCTGAGACCAGATTACGGCCAATTTAATGCACTTTTTAGAATAATAAGTAATTATAGTATTAGACCATACCGACTTGTACAGGTGTAAATGCAAAATTAGTTCTCAGAATTCAATCACTTATCTATATTTCTCTATATCCAGATTCTAGTCCCGTCAACTGTGACTTTGAGGATGGCTGGTGTGCCTACACCCAGGATACAAGCGATGATTTTGACTGGAGGAGGATACAAGGCTCGTCTCAACCTCGTGATAAGTTCCCGAAGGTCGACCACACGCGCGGTGACGCATCCGGTATGTCTAGATGATATCCTTAACACCTTATCCGGACACCTTCCCTCTAGACATCCACCCCCGGATAACCACCCCCGGACAACTACCCCTAGTATAGTTGTCCGGGGGTAGTTGTCCTAGGGTTAGTTGTCCGGTGGTAGTTTTCCGGGGGTATTTGTCGTAGGGGTTAGTTGTCCAAGAGGGTGGTTGTCATAGGGAATAGTTTTCCTTGGATGTAGTTGACTGGGGATGGTTATCCGGGGGTTGATGTCCAGGAGGAATGCTGTTCCAACCAAGTCTTTGATGCGGCTACTGCAAATCATTTTTCAGCTTTAATTTTTCGCATTTCGTTTAATTATACCTTTCTATTCTTTACTTTCTATTTCTTCCCCAGGTTGGTACATTTATATCGACACCTCTGCAGAGCGTACCGGATACCTCGCCCGCGTCCTCAGCCCTCTGCAGCCCGTTACGTCACGACAATGCCTCACTTTCTGGCACCATATGTTTGGCGCTTCTGTGGAAACCTTGAACGTGTACGTGAGGCGGAGCGATGCTAATGAGAGCTATGTGGGTGATCTGGTATGGACGACGACAGGAGAGAAGTCTGATGATTGGCTAGAGGCCCAAATCAGTGTCGCAGAGGCTGTATCCTACCAGGCAAGTCAATCTTTTATATTTTTGTGGAAATTAACGTAGGATACGATCAATTTTATGAACTGTTTTTATTTTGGTTATAAGTGATTTGTAATTGTGTACATGTATTATTTTCACTCGCAAAGTTTTAATGTTGATAGAATTGATGTAATTTGAAATGGACATTCTGTTTCCTTTACTTATCAACTATTTTCCTTCTAAACCGCTTAGAGGCAATATGCAATTTGCGATATAGAAATATATTACTATTGTTATTACTAATCATATAAAATTGAAAGGAGAAGTTGAAGTTTATTTTTGTAATGCGACTATATAGGGAATTTCAAGCCCAGGTAACACCAACACATCAACACTAGAGTGCGTTTATCAATCATTAAAATTTGTCACCCGAATAATTTACTGAACAATGTTATAGATATCATCAAAAGAGAGGCGTAAGTGCAATTTTGTGGCTAACTGTGTCTGGCATGTGACGTCACGAATCTTGACGCTCTATACGGAGGACCGCTGAAGGCAGAAAATCTGGATCTCAAAATTAACATTTTTGAAAGATGATTACTGCGGGGCCCAAACATATTTTGAAGAAGGAAATTGTTATATTTGATCAGTAGGGCTTCACCTTCGCAATGATATGAATTTTGTATCAACTCGAAACACTTTTGATTCTTCGGGTGACTACTTTAAGTGCAACCTTTAGACATTTCCAACGTGATAATTACAACACGATTAAATACATGAATATAAATTGCATTGCCTTTCTTATTATCAATCAATATATGAAAATCTAATGATACAGAAAAATGTCTATATAATTCTAAACCATTACATTTTGAGAGATAATAGGTATCATATTAAGTAAATACATTCCTATTCACGATTGAAAGTTAAAGTCAATGAACTTTGATACTCTGACGTCAACATTTCCGCTTTATATAAGGATTATGTTTTCTATCAGGCTGCATCCTATTCTGTGTATTGTTACGTTCTTGTCCAATATGTTTTAAATGTGTATTATATATAAACAATCTGATTGTTATATGTAATGTTTTGTTAAACTGAATGAAATAAAAATAGAACTTAATTGACTTTTTTTGATTTGATAAAGATTGTGTTTGAAGGTCGGGTTGGTAGTATCTGGACCGGAGATATAGCTATCGATGACGTCACAATGTACCACGGGTATTGTGCAGGTATTTAGAAGATTGATATCAAACCAGACAATATTGCTTCAGGGGAGTGTTTCACAAAGACTAAGGTCGACTTAAGTTTGACTTAACTATGGCAGGCCGTTCATGCCACTATTTGCTCTCATCATTACGATTTTTAGATAATATATTTTTTTTACTTCAATAAAGAATTATATAAAAATGTAAATTCTGTAGATTTGTGACCATGATTTGTACGTCCCTTGAGAGACCAATGCCAGTAAATGGTGACAGAAAACAGTGGCATGAACAGCCTGCCATAGTTAAGTCTAACTTACAATCAATCTTAGTCTTACTCCCCAGGTCATCTAGAGACTGAAATAGTTGACTATCTTTCCATCTCGTAATATTTCTAAGTCAAATGAAATATTGAAAAATGTCGGAATGAAATTGCTGGATTTATTATCCCCCAAAACCATAACTCCAATTACATATACATACTTGTATAAATTATAAGAAATACATTGGAAAATTACCCATACTTGAATGCAAATACTTCATATTTATATATGGCTTTATCGATCTTTAGTCCTGCGTTTATGCTTGGATTATAACATACGAACGAGGCTGATATGGTATACAAATATACACTGTCTTGCTAGGCTTTTCGAGCGATCATTAATCGAGATGTAAATAGCACTTTAGTTGAAATACTATTTAAGGCTTAGGAGCCGTAAATAGTACTTTTTGTAAAAAAAGTATGTATACTTTTGATCATGTGACATACTTTAAACCAATCAACGAACATGAAGATATAAATGACGAATATAATGTATAATATTTTCTTTATGACGTCACTCTATATATACAGGTTCACCGCGATGTGATTTTGAGGATCCGTTCCTATGCGGTTACACACAGGACCCTACCGATGATCTAGATTGGATCTATTGGTCTGGAGCAACACCTACACGAAACACCGGTCCATCATATGACGTCACCTATGGAACGCTGGCAGGTATATACATGTACAATATATATCTTGGATGGTGAATATTTGGAGAAAAAACAAAATACTAAATTTCTTGGAACTATCATCAATGAAAATCTGAAATGGAGTGATCATGTACATTACGTTTCAAAGAGAGTGTCACGCACTGTTGGTTTACTGTATAAGTTAAAACATTATGTGCCTTTGAATATTCTATATATGCTATACAATTCCTTGATTCTTCCTTACATGTCTTATTGCAATATACTGTGGGCAGACTCAAAAGTATATACTGATAAAATGCTACTTTTACAAAAGAAAGCGATTCGTGTGTGTACCAATGCTGGATATCGCGATCACACTGATCCCCTATTCGCGAGGTTAAAAACTCTGAAAGTAACTGATATTAACTTTTTACAAAAAGCACTGTTCATGTTCCGTCTACATAATGATTCCCTACCTTCCCACTTCCCACCAATGTTTTGTTTGAATAGAAATATTCATACATACCCAACCAGACAATCAAATAAATACCATTTATGTAATCCTAAAACAACAATGGCTATGAAATCTATAAGACATTCTGGTCCGGATATTTGGAACTCACTGTCCGTTGACATCCGTAACTTGAAGTCAGTATATACTTTCAAGAAAAGTGTGAAATCAATTTTATTGAGCAAATATTGACAAATCTCTTAAATTAACACATGATATCATATATGTTTGTCAGCATTTCCTTGATATAGCAGGAAAATCCCCCTCCCATGCACCCTCTATCCCATTTTTTTTTTTGGTTGCAAGTCACTGTTTATTTTTTGTTATTTTCCCCCAATTATGTACTGTAATTTACTTTACATTACAATCGTTATGATTTTAAATGTAATGGGCTGCAAGCGTATCAAGCTGTCACGCTTAGGCTGTAGCCCTTCTGTATCATCACCTCTTCGAGCGTATGTATCTATGATTTACTGAATGTGGAAATGTAATTTAACTTATGTTTTATACTCATGTAAAGACATTGTCACATTATTGTTATAACCTATGATGATTCAGTAACCAATAAATATTTCAACTATTTCAACTATAATATCGAGTATTTAAAGGAATTAAAGGAATCGAGCATCGTGAATCTCACCCAAAGACAAGCTTGATTCATCTCTTTACTTATGACTTCAATATTTTCTCCTGGAATTGTCACTTAGAGGTATTAATAATGTTATTTTAAATGATTTCACCTTTCTTTACATAGCCTATTAGGTTTTATTTAGCATTAAAATTATACACCATATTTTATATTCCGTTGTCCAGTTTGCGATTGTTTGATATTCTATGTAGTTCAGATTGTAAATAGGAGAAAAAAACGAAACCTTCAAATAAATGTATAATGTTACACTGACAAAACATGCCTTCATACTATTGGTATATTTGTAAAGCGCTTATAGACATTTGTAATAAGCGCTAAATACAAATTAAATATTATTATTAATATTATTAGTGATATTCAGAAAATTTAAAAATAGCAATGAATGCCATCTTTTATGTTAAAATTTGGTTATAGAAAAATTTATATCAATATGTAGTATTTGTATTGACTTCTGAGACAATAAATACTATTTAAAATATAAACAAATCATTAAAATTCGAGTGCTTCAGGTTATGAAACAGTGCTCGCTACAACTTCATTTCTTTTTAATTAAAAAACTAACACTATGACGTCATGTATTACGTCACCAGGTCATTATCTGTATGTGGGTAGTGAGGGGTACCAAGGTGACGCAGCCCGGTTGATTTCACCTCACGTCACATCCGATACGCCTGATGAAGTTCACTGCTGGAGGTACTATTATCACATGTGGGGTCAAGATGTCTATGTCTTAGAACTACGAGTAAGTAAAGATGATCCGTATAAAACCCATCAATATTAAAAGTATATTTATAGAGTGGTGAAGTGTGACGTCATCAAAAATTTATTTTTAGAATTTCTCAATTTTGTCTTCATTTTCCGAAAGTGCATCACAAATTTTGTCCAAATTTCCAAAACCAATTGAATATGTTGAGTATTGGCTGAGATATGACCATCTGAATATATATTTCCTATAGGAACTCATTGCTATATGCTCTGGCTCCTTACCATAATTCTAAAAATAGATTTCATGACGTCACAGCTCCGATACTCTATATTTTGCTTTTGTAAATCTCAACTTTTTTTTGGTCAAATTGAGGTAAATTTTCAATGTATCACTCTATTTTACTGATTTTTTTAATCTGTTAAAATCTGTTAAAATCACGCAATTATTCCCTTTTAAAATATATTACTACTTTTTAAAAAGCCGGTCTGGTTTCAAACAAACACAGCCCGTTAAAAATCAATTAATATCGGAGAGGAAATATTATGACATGTACATGTTTATATATATTTCTTAATATTTGATATTTCTAATATAAACTTGAACGAATTTTGCATTTATATCATATAATATTGATTTCACATGTATTTATTGTATTGTAAAGTTTTTATCAATTTGTAAAATGTCACACAATTTAGCCTTCGAGTTGCGAGATGATTTTCAATAAAACAAACCAATTATAATAATATAATCGCCTTTGCTCTGCTAGTAATTACACCCACCACTGCGTTTAAAGATATAGACCGGAAGTGGTAAAATAACGGTTGAAGGGTTTTGGGTGCAAAATATCCATTCAATATTGTTTAAATATTGCCTTTAGGTTTAGATGGCATTACTTCAATCTCAATTCGCAAAAAAAGCAGAAATATATTCCCAAATTTACAATGTTGAAGTGCATTCGCGATATCCATCCAGGCCGTATTGATATAATAATTTACCAAATATATCAAGTAGTAGGCGGTTTCCCGGCAAAATGTGTATCATCACGTATATTAGTCAAAACATATTCTTTCACATGATTGGTAGGCCTACTAAGAGCTTCCATTTCATTTTTTGAGAGGAGGGGGGGGGGGGGTTACCTTTAAAACCCTTTCGCGCCAATCATTCCACATTAAACGTTTGGCTCAATACCTCTTGATGCAGAGGCCGTTCAAATATGCAAGATACATGAGTAGAAAGGGCTAATATTTCTGAATAATATTGCATCCATTTTTATTTTATGAAAACCCTTAAATTGGTAACACATTAAAAATTAATCAAAAAATAGATCAAATTAGGTCATTTTAATATTGTGACAACAAAAATTACCGCCCATGCAAAATGTTTCCAGAGATATTAATTTTATTTAACAATGCAGAAATAAAAAAATAAAAAAATAATTGCCAATTAGAAAATTTAGCCCTAAAAACATTCCTGTCCAAAATCGGGTCTAAAAAGGGAAGATATTCTAATGTCCGACCTTTCCCTTGTTGAACGTGGTCAAATATATAGATCCGGCTTCGGGTATAACTAAATGAGTAGAATATTGATATGTTAGTGAGTGAGGTTGTATGTTGTTCATCTACTTGCCAAGCTCATCTATTGTCAATACATTAGAGATTGCAGCAACCTTGTTGTTTGTTTCGTTAACCTTTAAAAAATGTATTCGGCGTTATTATTATAACAGTGAAGTAATATGGGCGTTATTTGTGTGCACACATTTACAATGTATAAGATTCTTTTCTGACTTATGCCCCTCATCTTTTGCCAAGGAATTCTGAGTCCGCTATTGTGTTTTGTTATAATTTTCACGCTATATTGTTCGAGTGATTTATATAATTGTGATAGAATATGACGCATAAGTAAATTTAAAGTGATGCTTGCATTTGTTTTAATGTTTTTTTTTGTTTGTTTAAGTAGTGTGCTATCTCTTATCCATATTCCTTTAGGCCCTCTTCGGTAACAATCGGCAAGAGGTCCTGACGACCCATTTATACGACCAAGGGGACGAGTGGCATGAGGGCGCTGTTCAGATCGGTTTACAAGAATATGATCTACTGATAGTAGGAATACTCGGAGATGATGGGCAGAGAGATATAGCTATCGATGCTATATCGATGACAAGAACCAGTTGCGGTAGGTTTCTTTCTATTTAACTTGTATACATCATCTCGTAGTCTTTAGATCAATGCATTAACATTATAAAAATCCCGACAAGAGTACGTATCCGTTATAGGCGAGAGAGCTTTCTCAGCCACCGTTACTCTTACTATGACCTTTAACCCTTAAGGTTGAGAGTTTAAAGGTCATTAGAAAGTTCAAATCAGAGTTGAATAGATTTGCTTGATGCGAGGATACATGTATGTCACTCAATGATCGTTTCTCTTATTTTCCTTGTGCGCCTCAGAATACCTCAAAAGCATGTTACTACTACTACTACTACTGCTGCTACTGCTACTACTACTTCTACTGCTACTACTTCTACTACTACTACTACTACTACTACTACTACTACTACTACTACTACTAGTGCTTTTGATGATGATGACAATAATAATACTGGTAAAAAGAATGAAATTAGCAACTAAAGCAGTGATGACACACATTCAAATTTATATTATAATAAGTATAAACCTGCATTTCACCATTTTCTGACTGAAGAAGCTCATTGTATAAAGAAATATATATATACACTTATGTGTATACATATATATATATATATATATATATATTGTTCAGAATTTTATGTATGATATGTTTATATTTATAATTTTAGAGGATTGCGACTTTGAGACGGATTTTTGTGGATGGATAAATGCAGAGAATGGACGAGACGAGCTGAATTGGCAGAGGTTATCGGGTCCTACTACTACCACAATAACCGGACCTCAGTACGATCATACTACCCTCTCAGATTCAGGTAAGAGTTATATTAAAGGGAGTGTATAATGACAAATACTGCTTAACGCCATCTACGTCGGCACAGACTGGAATACCAGCGGGTAATGTGGTGATTAATGTTAATTAATTAATGTTAATTTGTCTCACACTCGAGAACTTGCTAAATTAATTTAAGCAAATATTACCTTCCTATTACCTTGACAGGCTTCTACTTCTACATTGATGGTTGCTTTCCTAGTCAGCCTGGAAACATCGCTATTAGACAAATATTACCTTACTATTACCCTCACAGGTTTCTACATCTACATCGATGGTAGCTTTCCTAGTCAACCAGGATACATGGCTAAGATAAGTTCAACTGTATCACTAGTGACTAATGACCATACCTTACTATTACCCTCACAGGTTTCTACATCTACATTGATGGAAGCTTTCCTAGTCAGCCAGGATACATGGCTAAGATAAGTTCAACTGTATCACTAGTGACTAATGACCATACCTGCTTTTCCTTCTGGTACATGATGTATGGACAGGATGTTGGTGAACTCCAACTCATCAAGTAAGCATCAAAATGTTTGCATATATTATTTTTCTTCATATTTAAAAAAATGTACTTCATACATTAATGCCCACAGTTAAAAGTATAGACCAGTTCCGGTCATGCGATTGAATTGTGAAAGAAACGTAGTGGAATCGATCAGAAAAGGTTGATAATCTAGCATATAAGTATAGGTGTGTACGGCAAGGTTCTGGAATCATTAAAAGGATAAGAAACTTAGGACCAGTCTTGGTAAATTTGCAAGCACTGTACACAGAAAGATGTACATGTATATGGGACTACCCTATATCTATCCAGTCCGGATAGATATAATAATTTACCGAATATATCAATTGTTATCATCACGTATTAGGGCAAAACATATTTTTTCACAGGATTGGTAAGAGGAGCTTCCATTTCATTTTTTGAGAGGGGGGGGGGCGTTTTCAAATGTTTACTATTCATATTTCGTGTTGTTCCGGGGAAATCGCTCCCTTTGACTGAGTTGAAAGCTAACGAAAATCTATATTTATCATGATCAGAACAAAACAAACAATCTAATAGTACTTCATGTATTAATGTTTGTTATGCATGTTTGTTATGCATGTAGCCTATAGTCTTTCCCAGACATCAGAGCCCTGTTTCATAAAACTTGATATCAATAACAAGTTACAAGCTGCTGTTATAAGCTACCGAAATCAAGACATCTGATTGGCCGAGAGCAAGTTTGTCATAGAAATTTAGCAGTTGTTATAGATACAAAAAATTATGAAACGGGCCCCAGTACAGATTTACATGAGGGTGTCTTAATATATGTCGGGTTGATGATATTGGACATAGTTACTTAAAATGTCACTAAACTAATGATTTATCTACTCCTAGGCCCCGCCTTACAAAGACTTACGATTGATCCAAATCTATCGCAAGTCCTCCAACCAATGGCATGTTTGCAATATCCTATCTGTACATAGTTGCGATTGATATCAATTGCAAATACGTTGCGATTTTATATCAACTCTTTGTGAGACGGGCCCCTGTACTATAATGCAAACATAAATGAATTTCACCACATGAAGTGATACCTGCTTAGCGTTTGATCAGTGTTCTTAGTTCAAGTCACATTTGTTTTTGATCAGAACCGAGGCCGGCATGGAGGCGATGGTATGGAGACTAACAGGAGAGCAAAATGATGATGATACAGTCTGGAAGCAAGGCAAGATACAGTACAGCGATAAGCAGGACAGAGTCAAGGTATGTAATCAAATCATTTTGCGTTTCACGGGTTGTATGCGACATAGTCACGTGATCCTGAACCTAATATACTGTACCTTAGCCTATTCCTTGGACGGAATATGTATGTCACAGGTTACAGGGCATATATGCATCCGGGACTCTAGACCAAAACCTGCACCTAAACATAATTCAAACCATATTCATTAAAGGCCGGCTGTACTAGTTCAGCCAAAAGGGATTAGACCACACAGCGAGGTCACTGACAGGTGGCTATCTCATTAATTCAGCTCTCAATTAATATAATAAAAAGAGGATCATGGGGGACCAACATGCAACGATTTGGGAAGTTTTCTATATAGAGGGAGCCAGTAGCTACAAGTAGTACAGTGTGGATTTAAAGGAAAATGCATTTCACAGAACTTATACCCCACATACTCAATGACAATTGCTCCACGGAGATACTGTCATACGTTAACAGAATTCATTACGTCAACCCTAGATCAAAAACTATACCTTAACCTAATCCTTACCCAAGGCCTATATCTTTGACAAACTAAAGCCAGGGGCTAGGTTGCTAGCGCAAAGCAATTTCCAGATGGTGATGATGAGGATTGGCACCATTCATCTGTTTCAAAAATTGAAAGGCGTCCGCTTCTCCAATAGTCATGGACTAAACATTTGCTTGAAAAGATAAGTTTAGATGCCCGGCTTGAACCTTCCTAGCTTGTATAATAAGAAGGAGGGAGTTTCAGTTTTACAAAGCATTTTTTCAATGACAATGACAAAATTTAGTGACAAATCTGCTGCTAACCAATCAGAAGCAAGGATTTTAGTACCTTTTAACAAAAAATGTCATTTGTCACTGATGACAATTTTTTTTAACCCCTCCCCCCCCTTCCCCGGACTCGTGAAAAGTGAAATGGAAATTTATTTTAAAAAATGGAGGAACTCATTTTTTTTAACCACGTTTTTTTCTGGTGATGGTATCTTAGATGGAGTTCGTTGGAGTCATAGGACCAGGTCATCAGAGTGACATTGCTCTGGACGATATCAGGCTTATACCAGGAGAATGTGATAGTAGGTCAAATCAATTTCTTTCTGATTTGAAATACCAATGACCATTTTTTGTCGCTTCGTTATCTTTTGCATTGTTCCTTATTTCAACTATTTTTAAAAACGTGATGTATTTATTTCTTGTAACTATGTATTTTCTTAAATATTACTGTGACGCCAGTGGAAACCAAATTTCTAGGTTACTTGTTTGCAAAGACAAAATCAAATATCTTGTAAAGTCAAAGTCAAGATAAGAAATGTTACTATTATTATTTATTTCACCAATCGGAAAACACAAAATGAGTATAATAATCAGATAATACATAGACATTGCATATTAATACATGCAAACAGCTTTTATTAGGAAAGTGGAGAGGAGAGAGAGTAAGATACAATCTGATGGGTAGGTCAGGGGTGACAATATCAATTTAAATTGCTATTACTCGAAAGCATGTCACCCCACCCACAGTCTGCATCCTGGAAAATTATGAAGAGTATGCCTTTCTTTGATATAATGTCCCCACACAATAGATGTGTGCGTTCAAGATGGAGCAATCTTGTTATGTGTATTTTAAAGTAACCGCTTCCAGAGTGATGGGGATGATTCAGAGATTGCCCTGTTTCCCCATCTTCAATACAATACTTCACCATCAATTCATGAAACGTGTCAATAGTTTGTGCATTAATTATTAAAAAAAAAAATGAGCAAAAATTAAATAACATCCAGTTCATTTTTATTTTTCACGTCACCAACTTCAGCCAAAGGCTGTTCTTCTGAAGGTCCCTGTTCATCAATGAGCACATATTCACTACTTTGTTAGAGTTAACAAAACTTCAACATGAACCATATATAAAAAAATGAAACCTAAACATTTGCTTCAATTACGTTAGAGTAACGTAATTCAATGTTAGTGATTGCTAGTTGTGAACTTATTCTTAGCCCTGATAATATTTTAGGACCCTACCGTTTACTTAATGATGCAACTATGAATACGTATATTTTTCATTTTCTTTTTACTATTTATGTCATTTTTCATCAAATCGTAGCTTACCCTCCTGAAGCAGCTGTTTTACCGACCACCACACCAGTGCCCCCAACCACTCCGCCACGTATGTAAATCTGTTATATAGTTTGGTTTATAAGATGATGACGTAGATTCCAATCAAATGATTCGTTTAGAGCGTACACGTGACCAGGCATTTATTTCGCCTAACACGTAATGTTGATAATGACTGGTCATTATCAAATGCTAATGACCGGTCATTAGTAAAATCATGTTATAAATCAAATAAAACATAATCTTATAAAACAAATGATACACATCATTTTGTTCGGGCATTAGTAAAATTACCCACGCTCGGCACCTTAAAAACAGTCTAAACACCTTCGGCTATTGCCTCAGGCGTTTTAGACCTTTCTAAATGTACCTTGTGTGGGTAAGTCTTAATAATGCCCTCACTGTTGTGTATTATTTGTATACTATTTTCCTCCTCAGGATTTTTTGCAGGTTTCCTTAAAACCTTTCCTTAAAATGTATATTTTTATTTTGTTCAACAGTTCGAGTCGATGTCTGTGGAATATCGAGTAGACGAGTATTAACGATGATGATTTTACTTACATAATTTGTATAATAGCATTCTGAGTTTTGTTAACCATATTGGTAAATATTCAATTGAAGCAATATTACATATTGATTATAGTAAAATTCAATAAACTTACCTCAGTACCTAAGTAGTTTTTAAAAGTCGATTACAGTAAATTTCTTGCTAAATGAGACTTCATGAGATTACAGCATATGAACATGCAAATGAAATGAATATATGCCTATGTCAACTGGAATGGAATTCTCACATGAGCAAGGGTAAATCTTATCGAACGTAGATGCAGTAATTTATATGTTATAGAGGACTGAAGCTGTGGCATCATACAAATCTATTTTTAGAATTTCTTAATTCTTTTCTTGATTTTCCGAAAGAGTTTCAAAAATAATGTCCAAATGTCGAAAACCAAATGAATATATTAAGTATTGGCTGAGATATGACCATCTGAATAAATATATGTCCTATGGGAACTCAGTGTTATTGTGCTCTGGTTCCTAATGTTATAAATAGTTTTTTGATGACGTCACACTTCACCACTCTATAAACTTTCACATTCTGCATTATAGCATCCGGGACACAAAGCTGTGACTTTGAGAGAGATTTCTGTGATTTCGTCCAAGCTACTGACGATGATTTTGACTGGAGGAGAGAACAAGGCTCAACCCTGACATCAAACACAGGACCATCAGCAGATCACACAGTAGGAGACGGTAAGACTCGCAATATGGTGTCCCACAGGGAAGTCCTATTGGTCCAGTACTGTTTATCATACTTGAAACGGCCGGGGTAAAGGGCCAAACTCAACACCTGAGACAGTACCATCGCACAATGGAGACTGCCATGCTCCCCGTGATGTTGAATTAAAGCTTTACTACTCCTTCTGCCCCTCAATATAATTCTTCTTGAAGTGGAAACAAGAGATTAGATAGATTATTAGTAGTGTTTGGAAGTAAAATAGGAGACGGTAAGAATATTGGATTCTCGCATTGCGGTGTCCCACAGGGAAGTCCTCTTGGTCCAGTACTGTTCATCATACTTGAAACGGCCGGGGTATAGGGCCAACCTCAGAACCTAAGACAGTACCATCGCACAACTGAGACTGCCATGCTCCGTGTGGTAGTGAAGTAAAGCTGTACTACTCCTTCTGACCCTGAATATGTTACTTCTTGAAGTGGAAACAAAGGATTAGAGAGATTATTCATAAGTAGTAGTGTTTGGAAGTACATGGTAGACAGTAAGAATATCTGATTCTCGCATTGTGGTGCCTTACAGGGAAGTCCTCTTGGTCTAATACTGTTCATCATAGTACTTGAAACGGCCGGGTTAAAGGGCCAAACTCAACACCAGAGACTGCCATGCTCCGTGGGATCATAAAGTAAAGCTTTATTACTCCTTCTGCCCCTTAATATGATACTTCTTGAAGTGGATACAAGGGATTAGAGAAATTATTCATAAGTAGCTTTGTTTAGAAGTAAGCTTAATAGTAATATTTTTGTATATTTTATGTTTAATAATATGATTATAGTTAATTACATACAAATATTTGATTTTGCAAACGCTAACAATACTTTCATATTGTACCGCGGAGTCGTAATTCAGCTCACAGCTGGCAATATTGTTCTTTCTTGCATCCACAGCTCTTGGTTATTACATCTACACGGAATCCACGTTCTTTATCAACCGGAAGCACCGTCTTGAATCACGCCTCTTCCCCGTCACAATGACGTCATGCGTGACGTTCTGGTTCCACATGTGGGGTACCACCATGGGTGAGCTGAATGTCTATGGCAAGGAGGGATCAGATCTAGGTCCAGTATTGTGGACCAAACAAGGATCTCAAGGGAACCAGTGGTTTGAGGCTCAGGTCCAGTATATCCCTAACACAAACTACATGGTAAGCATCATCATCTGAGCTAGCTACTTTTTTTAGGAAATGTAGGCCCTACTTTATTTTAGTATACATTAATATTACTCTTTAGACCAACTTTTTTGTATTTTGTGTGTTTATTATAAGTTTTAGTTGGTAATTTTAAGTCAGACAATGGTGCGCTTAGAATTACCCGTATTAAGCGCCTAATAAATGTTATGTATTACTTTCATTATTATTATTTTTTTTGTAATCGTTAACATTTCAGTTTGAATGATTCTTAATACAAAGGAACTGTAACCCCTTATACGTTTTCATCTTTTGTCTATTCATTAATGTTGCACTCTTCATGAAACAAATATTGGTTCGGAGAAGAAACAAATCTTTTTGTTATGGCAAATGAGACTAAATGACACAAACTACTCGGCTGATTTCTAACACTAACCAAAAACTCTTTTTTTTTCCTCCTTTGTTTCTGCTTCCATTTAAAATTATTAAAAACTTGAATTCGGCGTAAACATTCATAATTGAATGACACACGCCCTTCAGACTAAAACAACAACAACAACAACAACAACTAACTCTGACACTCGACCTAGCCTAAAACTCCATTCGTTTTTTTAAAGATATCAATATTTGTAATACTAAACCGTAAGTTAAAAAAAATAATCTGATTGATATTACCACCGATGGCTCAAAAAAAGTCTTGATATGGGGGGGGGGGGGGGGGGGGGGGGGGGGGAGGGGGAGCACGGGTTTGAATGGAGTGGGACATTTAGAGGAGGTGGTGGTGGGGGGGGGGGCACGGGTTTGAATGGAGTGGGACATTTAGAGGAGGGGGGGGGGGTGAAAGGGTGCATATCATTGCTACGCCAATTTCTGCATACAAAATTATGTTTATTATAGATCGTTTTTGAAGGACTCACTGGCCCTGGACAGGAGAGTGATATGGCTGTAGATGACATCGACATAAACCCTGGTAGATGCCCAGGTAACAAACAATATTATATACCGCACTTAAGAAATCCAGCCATCTGATTGGTCGAAATTGCAGTCGTGAATTTAGCCATTCCCGTAAAGAAACGACAAATGCCCAAACCATTTATTAGTCAGAGAGTAAAATCCCGGCAAAATTCCAGTTACCGAAAAATAATAAATCTTGCTGCGATACCCATTGCTTTATGTGTTAAAATGTTCTTTGAGCGAGCGCGGACATCATACAGTGCTTTTTGTCTGCGATTCCCAACTGATCGAAAATTTCAGTCATTTTTCGGGTGGTGATAAACAGACAGTTTATCAGATTTTCCGTGATGTTTTTACATACGACATGGAAGATGCCCAGGTAACAAAAGACATATAATGCCAATACGATACTTTACTCCTTACTTGTTATATTAGTTATTATTGTATCGTTTGCACTCATCTTTACATGAACAATTTGAGTTACAATTATTATGATGTCTTATTATCTCACATTTAAACACTAAATTACAATATAGATTTCATCGTGCGTTTTCACTTCAGGTATACATACAAATGCCTAATGACATAACATTATTTCCATTTGTTTTATTACGCCCCTGATAGTGCTACGATGCTAAGGACACGGGCTAAGAATTACCTGATATGTTGTTTCAAAATATCGAGTTCGAATCTATATAGAGACAACATGAAGAGCCTAATTCCAAAAGGAGTTAAATCCACTTTTAATGAAAATTGAGTTATTAATATCAGAACATGGGCTAAAGTACCCTTCTTTCAATAAAACGGTTAACATAAATTTTAGGAGCAATCGTGAACAAATGCACCTTCTAATAACATTTTTTCATAGACGCCTTTACAAACTATGGTAAAAAATTTCTTTTTTCTCTGAAGTTACAAAAATGGATTTAGCTCCTTTTGGAATTCAACTTTTCAAATAGTGTTCTGTTTTCGTTTCACGTCGAAGAACCTCAGAGCAATACGGAGAGTTCACTTTTTCTTTGATCCACAGTGACTGATTTATGCACCTTTGAGAACCCCGACCTCTGTAACTACATGCAGGATCCTCAGGACGACTATGATTGGTCCTGGGCAAGTGGACCAACACCTACATTCTACACCGGACCGTCCAATGACGTCACCTACGGGACCAGCAGTGGTCAGTTTTGGCGATCTTTTTTTTTCTTTTTCCAAAGAAGATTTTTATTCAATCATTGTTGAGCAAGAACAAGACACTACATTAGAACAAAGTACTTGTTATGACATATCGGTCAAACACACACAGGGAGAACAGTATGAATACTGATGAGGCTACTCTGGGTAAACAAGACATATTATTATTATTATTATTATTATTATTATTACAAATACTCTCCAATGGATTTGATTTGGGTAGAGTATAAATTCAATACCAAAAGGCACGAGTGCATTGACTTGGTTTTGGACACGAGACCTGTCGGTTTACGAGATCACTGCTCTACCACTGAGCAATCGCGCCTCCTCAATTTAGCAGATGTATGGTTGAACTGTATATATTTTATAATCACATACAAGGTATTAAATATTTTAAAGCATACATTGTATTATACTGCAATAGCTCTCTGTTACAATACAAATTGGAGGTATTGTTTGTATATTCTTCTGGGAATTTAAACAACTTAGCTCATGCACTCGTTTTCAGCCTCATAATAAGCTTAAATAGAAGAGTTGGCAAATCTCGCCAATTTGAAGAAGGAATTTCCTTCTTTGCCAAAAATGATTTGTTCAATGATCCCACAATAATTATAATATTCCGCTTTTATTAAGCGCCCAATACATCGATACAACGATGTGCCTAAGCGCTTTACAGATACTACGCCGGTCATCAAATTCAGGCTTATCTGCACACAGTGTATGCATATATTGGACTCCTTGGGGAGCAATCCAGCCAGTCACCATTTTACAAGCGCACACTTGCTCATCCAACTACATGAAATTTCACATCCTCCTTGAACGCTTCTTATTCATAAAGACCAAACAATAAAGACATTATGTGCTGTTTCCTTACACAGGTCACTATGTTTATGCCAGTGCTGTAGAGAGGCTCCCGGGAGACCAAGCTCGACTACAATCCAAAGAGATACTTTATGATGCTGATCACCCCCAGCTGTGTGCGTCATTCTATTATCATATGTTTGGATCAGAGATGGGTACTCTCAATGTCCTTATCAAAGAGGTGAGAGGTCATTCTATTATCATATGTTCGGATCAGGGATGGGTACTCTCAATGTCCTTATCAAAGAGGTGAGAGGTCATTCTATTATCATATGTTCGGATCAGAGATGGGTACTCTCAATGTCCTTATCAAAGAGGTGAGAGCTCATTCTATAATCATATGTTCGGATCAGAGATGGGTACTCTCAATGTCCTTATCAAAGAGGTGAGAGCTCATTCTATTATCATATGTTCGGATCAGAGATGGGTACTCTCAATGTCCTTATCAAAGAGGTGAGAGCTCATTCTATTATCATATGTTCGGATCAGAGATGGGTACTCTCAATGTCCTTATCAAAGAGGTGAGAGGTCATTCTATTATCATATGTTCGGATCAAAGATGGGTACTCTCAATGTCCTTCTCAAAGAGGTGAGAGGTCATTCTATTATCATATGTTCGGATCAGAGATGGGTACTCTCAATGTCCTTATCAAAGAGGTGAGAGGTCATTCTATTATCATATGTTCGGATCAGAGATGGGTACTCTCAATGTCCTTATCAAAGAGGTGAGAGGTCATTCTATTATCATATGTTCGGATCAGAGATGGGTACTCTCAATGTCCTTATCAAAGAGGTGAGAGGTCTTTCTATAATCATATGTTCGGATCAGAGATGGGTACTCTCAATGTCCTTATCAAAGAGGTGAGAGCTCATTCTATTATCATATGTTCGGATCAGAGATGGGTACTCTCAATGTCCTTATCAAAGAGGTGAGAGCTCATTCTATTATCATATGTTCGGATCAGAGATGGGTACTCTCAATGTCCTTATCAAAGAGGTGAGAGGTCATTCTATTATCATATGTTCGGATCAGAGATGGGTACTCTCAATGTCCTTCTCAAAGAGGTGAGAGGTCATTCTATTATCATATGTTCGGATCAGAGATGGGTACTCTCAATGTCCTTATCAAAGAGGTGAGAGGTCATTCTATTATCATATGTTCGGATCAGAGATGGGTACTCTCAATGTCCTTATCAAAGAGGTGAGAGGTCATTCTATTATCATATGTTCGGATCAGAGATGGGTACTCTCAATGTCCTTATCAAAGAGGTGAGAGGTCATTCTGTTATCATATGTTCGGATCAGAGATGGGTACTCTCAATGTCCTTATCAAAGAGGTGAGAGGTCATTCTGTTATCATATGTTCGGATCAGAGATGGGTACTCTCAATGTCCTTCTCAAAGAGGTGAGAGGTCATTTTATTATCATATGTTCGGATCAGAGATGGGTACTCTCAATGTCCTTATCAAAGAGGTGAGAGGTCATGACATGATATAAGCGGTATATTGAAGCACTACTGTACTACGTATATCTACTTGCGCCCTCTATATAGCAAACAATGCCTAATCAGTGCATGTTGGTCCCCCATGGTCCCCCATGGTCCCCTCCATGGGCGTCAATCCTTACGTAACTCCTATTGTTCAGGGGGGATGAATGAATAGATCACACAGGTCAACGATTTATCGAAAGGGAATTGTACTGTTGTCATGTAAGCGTACAGAATATGACGACAAACATTAAACTAAACCATCATAATAAGAGGAGAACAGGAGCCCTAGTATGAGGATGTGGACGCCTAAATATTGCATTTTAAAAACATTCAGGGATAATGAAAATAATAATGATAATAATAGCTAGTTTATATATAGCGATTTTCAGGACCGAAGGCCCTCTCAGAGCGCTTTACAGCTATATATATTATAACCCCGGTCATCGGATTCAGGCTTACCTGCACACAATGTATGCACATTCACCATATTCTGGGGAGCATTCCGGCCAGGCGTCATTTTTACAAGCGCACACTTGGTAATCTAAGTACATTAGCTTTCGCATCCTACCGGGTACCCATTTAACACCTGGGTGGAGAGTGGCAAATGTAGATCAATGTCTTGCCAAGGGATGCAGCCCAAGCGTTAAATAGCGATGGTCATTTGAATTTGCTACCAGAATCATTGCTATACAGAATAGGTTAGATCCTTCTTATTTGGTCATCTTTTGGAAACGAACGGTTTCTGTGTCAAATGATACTTCTAGAATGATGACGAAGCACCTTTACGTTTAAAGGAAAATTACAGGGTGTCAGTTCTTCTCACGTGCATTCATCATCATCAACTTAAGGTGGCGCTGTAAAGCGCTGCTGTGGTCTTCACAAGAGCACGCCATGCAGCTCTTTCACATGCCATTAGTGTTGCACCTTTCATTCCTTGTCTATACACTTTCTTGATATCATCAATCCAAGATATTGGTGGACGACCTCTACCCCGTTTTCCTTCGACTGCTCCTTGCAGTATTTGATTCTCAACACCTTCAGATCTCCAAATAATGTGCCCATAATAGTTTTCTTTCCATGATTCCACTTCCATTACCATTCAACACAACCCACCTTACTCCACTCAGGGTAACCAAGACGTGAGTGCGCCCCTATGGACCCAGGGTGCGGAGGATCTGAGTGATCATTGGTACCTGGGAGAGGTCAGCCTGTCTAGCGCCCTCACCTTCAGAGTCGTCTTTGAAGCAGTAACAGGTTCTGGAGAGCTGAGTGATATAGCTATTGACGATGTCATAATTTCCCATGGACTTTGCCATGACTTAGGCAAGTACAAACCTAGCTTGAATAGACTTAACCCGTCGGCTACTGAATTATCTAATTCACATTGACTTTAACACCGGGACCACCAGGTTCCAGTAAGCATTGGGTTAATGTAAACATATTGCCCTCGGGAACACGGTGGTTCTCGGATAAAGTCTTTAGTAAATTAGAGCTCATAACCTCTATCGAGTAATATAGAAGTAAATACTGAGAGCGCGAGGAGGTTCAAATCTGACTGACTTGAGGGCTACACAATAACCCATTATTATTATTATTATTATTATTATTATTATTATTATTATTATTATTTGGTCTAAACGATTGGAGACGGAAATAAGTTCATCTTATTGATACCATAATTGCTAGAATGTTGTTTTTAACGCATTTAAAGAGTATTTTACACATTTAAAAAAGCAAATCATCGGATTGATCCGTACGACTATTGTCTCTTTGCACCTTAAGGAGACTGATTTTGAGGGCGAGGCATCTTTTGTGGGAGAAAAAATAGAGATAATTGAGAATTAATTTGAAAACAGCCTCCTAAATAATTCATCCTATTAATAATCTTTGCCGCTTTTGTCTCTTTGTACTTTTAGGAGATTGTGATTTTGAGAGTGGTACCTGTTCTTGGGAGAACATAGATAGAGACGATCTAGATTGGATTACAGGAGAAGGGGCAACCGGTATGTCAGGTCCTAGCGTTGATCATACACCGGGAGAAGCAGGTAATTCTATATAGCATACAATGCCTAATCGGTGCCTGTTGGTCCCCCATAATCCCCTGTTTCTTATGTTAATTGAGAGCTGATTTGATGAGCTAACCACCTGTCAGTGACCTTGCAGGGAGGTCTATTCCCCCTGGTCAAACTAGTACAGACGGGCTTTAAAGTAGATGAAATGATTAGAACCGTAAACAAAATGCAGGTGTATATAATATTCGATTACGTCACATTCCGGTGAATGATAGCTATTGAGGCATCCGTCTTTGCATCCTTTGGAAATTTTACAAAACGAGGGTATTTTCTTGTTTGTTATAGAGTGGTGAAGTGCGACTTTATCAACAATCTATTTTTGGAATTTCTTCATTTTTTCTTCATTTTCCGAAAGAGCATCAAAAATAATGTCCGAATGTCGAAAAAAAAATTGAATATATTAAGTATTGGCTGAGATATGACCATCTGAATAAAAAGATGTCCTATATGGGCACTCAGTGTTATAGTGCTTTGGTCCATAACATTATGATGTCACAGCTTCTGTACTCTATACTGAAGATGGTTAAGATAATGATGATAACATACTCCTCACACATACTCTCCCTGTGACACATGTTACTTATCATGGGATAGATATATTAAAGCCTTCAAAAAATATGTTTCAAAGTGTTTCTAGTGCAAGTTTAATCTAAACCAGTGTGAATAAGGATTGCCATGACGCCAATCAAGGCTGGACATTGGTGTTTAACAAAGTCACTGTTTTGCACAGCGGAAACCGTCTGTCAATTGAAACATATTATATTGTGCGAAATTGCACGTGTGGGAAATAGTTCACCATGTAGAGAGGCGAAGAAAGCAAACGAAGTGTTAATGAAGGTGATGGAAACAATGACAGAAAATTGCCTATGGTGGTACTGAAAGTACAATGATGATAATTGTTATAATGATGAGTATGATGATGATTGGTTGACGTTGGTGATGATGATGATGATGATGATGATGACGTGTTGATGATGAAGTTGATTTACATTAATGATGATAATTGGTTGACTTTGGTGGTGATGATGATGATGGTAGTCATGATGATAATGATAAAGTTGATTTACACGAAGATGGCGATGATGATGATGATGATGGTAGCTATGAAATTGGTGTTGATGATGATAATCATCCTCGCCGTCATTAAACATTCGTTGATTTCATTTTTCCTCCTCTCAGGGAACTACCTGTTCGTCGACTCCAACCTGCCCAGCGCCCTGGGCCTACAAGCCTACCTCATGCTCGGTGCCCCAGCCGCCACGGGGGTCAAATGTCTTCAGTTCTGGTATATGATGTTTGGTCTAAACATGGGCCAGCTCCTGGTCTATACATCCCAAGCCTCTGACCTGTCCACCCGGGACCTGGTCTGGATGCTTGAAGGTCAGCAGAGTAAAACATCGACGGAATGGAAGCAAGCCTCTGTACCTATTAATTTCGATGAGGTTGATGACGTGAGTTTTGTACTTTGTAATTCACATTAACAAATAATGGGGCTATATATTGTTTGGAATGGGGGGGGGGGGGGTCATACTCGCTTCTCGACGTGCCCTATAGGATATACACCTTAATTTAAAGTTTATATTGAGGAAAAACAGAACACATGAAACAAACCTGTGTGCCATTTTACCTTTACCCATTTATGTCATATAAGCGAATTTGAACAATGCATTCGGATAGCATGGTTTCTTCTTCTTCTTCATTCGACTATTGTTGCCAATTTCATCGCATCTCTTTATTTCAATGTCTTGGTAAAATTATTATTATTACTAGCTTATGGTATATGGTATTTATTTGTTATATGGGATTCATTTTCCAAATCACAATATAAAACCAATACATACCGAAAGGGAAAAGGAATATATAAAAGCAAGAATGATAAAGTAAATGACTGGAGAGCGTAATATCCTCTGTAAGGTCTGATTGCCTTCATAGGCTAGATTACTGCCTGTTGTGAAATGGGCTTCATTGTCTGACAGTCATTTAATACCTTTCTTTGTGTTGACCCGATCTAGGTATTCATCGTGGCGATACTCGGCTCCTCCTTCTACTCCGATATAGCTATCGATGACATCGATATCGTGAATGGAAATTGTGATTGTAAGTTTCATATTTTTCAACTCAACATACGCATAGCTATATACAAAAAGAAAGATATATCGCAAACTATCAAAGAACTTCTAGCCTGACACATACAAAATACAGTGAAAAAGGAACAAATCTTTTCCATTTTCCTACAGTTCAAGCAATTAGTAGTTGTGTCAAAATTATGTTTGTGGATACGATGACAATATTGTACAATTTTCAGATATTTGTCCATTCAGGTAAAACATTTTAGTGCACGATTTTAAAATGAATACAAAGAGACATTTATTGATTTCTGTATATTTATTTTGTCTATCACGAACAGATCTTCGCCAAATACGAGCGAATACTTGCATGAAAATAATTATATAATACAACCAAACTATTCTGGAAATTTTTTTTTCTTCCATATTTTTCCCTCCACAGGGATTTTATTGATTTTCATTTGAAACACATACAAAAATATATTTCCAAGGTAATTTACATTTATAACATAAATGAAATTGGCTTTTAAAAATACAAGTATTGTTGAACTGTTGAGAAAACTAAAAAATCAATAATTCATTTCTGACACTCATGGAAAGAAAAACAAATACAGAAAAAATATAATTTTAAGTAAACAAATTCCTGAATTGAAACCATTTTCTTGTGAATTTATTATTTCTACAATTCGAATTTGCAATATACTTTTCGTTTTTGAAGTAATTTATAATCGAAACTCTAATGTTATCAAAGTCGGGCAATTGTTTCTTTATTTTGGAAGTATACACCATCTGTCGCACCACAATCAGTATACAATTCAATGCATAATTATTTGAACCTTTTAAACCAAATAATTTATCTTGTAATGAAAATGTTAATTTATTTCCGGTTCTAGTATTAATCAAGTGTTCTAACCTACCCCAAATATTTTTAACATGCGTACAATCACATAGGAGATGTATGACTGTTTCAATCTGTTCATTACAAAATGTACATTCTTTTCTTGGGAATAAATTCATTTTAAACAGTAGATCGTTTGTATATAATATGCGTTGCATGACTTTAAACTGAAACCATCGTAAGCCCACATCAATGGTACAATTAAATCCAATAGAACAATATGTTTCCCAACTCTTATCATTCAGGTCGAAAATGCATTTCCATTTAAGAAAACTTTTACATAGTCCTTTCCTTCTCTTTAATAAAATTGCATAAATATGTGAACATCCTTTAATACGTTTCATAACGAATGCCATTGTATCTGGGAAAAGAGGTTGTGGCACCTTGTTAAAAATAGTACAATTGTTAAACCCTTGTCTAATTGCATCGCATAATCCACGATAAAAAAAAAAAATTATTTGAATATTATACTTTTCTTGGAAGTGTTCCAGAGAGAAAAAAATCACCATTTTTGTCTAAAATATCATTGACAAAACGAACTCCCTTTTGACACAATTTTTTATTATATATTGAGCTATTGCCTATTTTAATGTAGTCATTATTCCATAAGGGCTGGCAAGAAATGTTATCACAATGCATGGACAAGAGCGTACTATAAGCCATGAACATATCTTTCCAAAAAAGGTTTTTTGTTTTACCTGCCAGTTCCCGAAAATAATTGTTTCCCATATATAATTTTAAATCTTGCACTTCAGGCAAGAAAGATTGCAAAAGACAGAGGATATTGCTATCCATTGAGCCAATTACTAATCTCTTAATCCAGGAAATTTGTAATGATTGGCAATGTTTGTATATATCTATCATTTTAACCCCTCCGTCTGAGTAACTTTGTGACATTTGATTTCTACTTATTTTATCAGGTTTCTCCCCCCATATAAATCTATAAAAGTGAGCATTTATATCTTTCAAAAGATTTTCACCAGGATTAGGGAGGGACAAAAAAAGGTAGTTTAATTTGGATACCAACAATGACTTGACGACAGTGATTCTTCCAAGAACAGTTAAGTATCGCCTTAACCACGATGTCATTTGACTTTTGATTTCTTTAAATTTTTCATTATAATTGTGAATTATCAATTTGGGCAAATCCGTACAAAAGTCTATACCTAAATATCTGAAATAATCATCAAACACCCAATTTAGATTTCTATTCAAAAGAACACCATCTTTCTTGTTTTTAAATCCTCCAATCCAAATCGCATGTGTCTTCTGTATATTAACTTTTAAACCAGACATTGCATTATATTTATCTAAAATGTTTAATGCACTGTTTAATTCCGTTACTGACCCATTCAATGTTAGAAGAGTATCATCTGCATATTGAATTAATTTAAGTTGTCTACCAGGTAAGCTCAAACCAACAATGGAATCGGAATTTCTAAACAAAAGACCTAGTATTTCGGCGCATAATAGAAAGATAAGAGCTGACATGGGATCTCCTTGACGACAACCTCGCTCTATTGAAAATCTTGGAGACAGGTGTCCATTGATTAATACACAGGATTGAGCATTTTCATAGAATACATTAACCCATTTTACAATAGACGGACCAAACTTAAAAAGGTGCAATACTTTTCTAATAAAATCATGAGAAATAGAATCAAATGCTTTTTCAAAATCTATAAGCAGCAATAAACCAGGAATGTCATTGATATCAGTATACAGTGATATATCATATAACAAACGGATATTCTCTCCAATGAAGCGCCCTGACATAAAGCCTTTCTGATTTTCATGTATAAGAAAAGGAAGTACGTTCTTTAATCTGTTTGCTATACAAGCGCAACCTAATTTATACACCACGTTCAATAAAGATATGGGTCTCCAATTTTTCAAATAATGTCTATCTTTTTTCCTTTGGGAATTAAAGAGATGACTCCTAATTTCTGTGTATAGGACATTCCTGATGAATATGCAGAATTCAAATATCTCACTAAAAATATGTGTAATTCTTTCCAAAAATGTTTGAAAAATTCGACGGTGTATCCATCTAAACCAGGTGATTTATTATTTTTCATATTTATAAGTGCTTGATGAACTTCATCAATGGAGAGTTCTCCTTCGAGCTTCTGTGACATTGAAGTGGTTAATTTACTTATAACTGGATTATTTAATATTGTATTTAAGTCTAAATCAACAACAGGATTATTTGCATACAATTTAGAGTAGAATAATACAATTTCTGATATAATATCAGCATGCGATGTTATCTCCTTGTTTTCAGTAGTGACCAATTTGCATATACGTTTATTCACAGCATTTCTTTTTTCTAAATTCAAAAAATATTTCGATGGTTTCTCGCCATATTCCATCCATTTAATTTTAGACCTCATCTTTATTCCTTCCATTTTTTCTTTTCTTAATGATTCTAATTGAACTTTCTTTTCATTTAATATAACTAAAGCTCTATTTTTGTCCGTTTTTGATATCAATGCTTTCTCCAAATCTGTAATTTCTTTCTCTAAATCATATTCTAAATTTATCAATCTTGTTTTCTTTCTGGCTGCGTATGAAATTGTTTCACCTCTAATTATGGTCAACAACGTATCAAAAAATAACTGATCATTTACAGTAAATTCATATTGTGTATCTTGTCCTTCTACCTCAAATCTAGGGACTGAATAGGTCTCAATCGTTTGTTGAATGACATCTTTATTTTTTTCCACATAACTATCATCCCTTAACAACGAATTATTGAATTTCCAGTAACCTCGACCTACCCTACAATGATTTAAATTCAAAGATAACTTGACCAGGGAATGATCGGATCTGTACCCAGGTAAAATCTCTATTTTATTAACGAGTGACAGTAGCTCGGTGGAGACCAAAAAATAATCCTATCTAGCCGCCTTAAAGGGAGTAGGTTGACGCCATGTAAACATTTTTTCCAGGATATGTAATTCTCTCCATGGGTCTATCAAATCTAAATCATTCTTCATTTGATCGACTTTTTTCTTGGCATTAGGATTATTAAGACGAATATAATTATATGTATCTTTATCAAAATCTTGAAGCAAGTTCCAATCTCCGCATAAAATTGTTAATGAATTATCAAAATCCAAAGCAAGTCTTTCAATATCTGCATAAAAACTGACACTATCGTGATTAGGACCATACAAGGATATTAATGTTATGTCATAGCTATATATCTGTAGGTCTAACGCAACAAAATTCCCTTCTTTTGATCGCTCAATCTTATTTACATTAAATTGCACCCCTTCCCCAAACAAAATAGCAACACCTCTGGCATTTGACGCTTTATGGCTGAAAAAACAACTATCTCCCCAAAATCGTTTTATAGAAACTTCTTCTTCAGCTACAAAATGTGTATCTTGCAAGCAACATATTTGGAACTTGTTTAACTTAACAAATTCTAAAACATCATTTCTTTTTTCGCGATTTCCCAAACCTCGACAGTTCAAAGAAACAATACTAAAATTAGCCATTGAATATCAAATTTACCGCGGTACTATGAAAATCAAATCCTGTGGAGTTTTTCTTTTGTAACATCAAACAAATAACATTGACTACACTATGCGCTAGTCCACCAAAACAACTTATACTGCAACACCTATGACAATTACAGCGATGTCTAGCACAAACGAAACTACAAAACAAAAACACATATGTCTCTGATAGCGAGACAAGACGCAATACCAAGAAAGCCACAGGTGACCACATATTTGCTGTGGATCCCCGAAACCCCACCAATCCAAATAAGAGGGAAAATGTATCAAACGTTTCTCCCTTGAAAAGAAGGCACACCGGCTTAAATCAAACACAATCCTGCTGATTGTATGATGTCATGTCCGGGAAATGTATACACTTAATTATTTTACATATTTACAAATATGCGACCTCCGATGATTCACACGGGTAACCTAAACACACACTCCCCTTTCACAGAAGAGGTCAAATATAATAAAACGATCGATAGCTTGACCGTAGTACTTTTGCGGAAACGACTAGCCCTTGATCATAGTCTTAATTTGTATCATACATGTATATACATTGCTATATGATATTTCTTTAACATGGCTTTGGATAACAAGATATAAATATATAAACAAAGATATATCAAATATTAACCTCCGTATTCGGATTTATAATGATTATCAACGTATTTAAAATTATAAAGTGGAACTGCTTCTTAGAATTAAAGAACAAGAAAACTGTATGATCTCTTGCATTTCATAAGTCTCACATCAATATTCTGATATCTTCAAAAAAAGGATTAATCTATGTAGAACACGTTGCTTTCATATGATTAAAACTACTGATTAAATAACGTCTTCTCTTTGAAAGAGACAGCAATTTTTTATTTTAAAAAGAACCAATTTCTCTTCGTACCTTCTGCCCGGAGATACAAGAGAACAAAACATTCAGCTTCGTTCAAGAAGATTTGTCATTTTTCTTATATGCATCCGCAATAACAAGGAAAAAGATCATTAAAACTGCTCTTATATCTATTCTTATTACATGTAAGTCTTTAGCAGATTATGTAATAGACATACACTAGTACTCAACACCAGTTTTTAGGCATCCAGCCAAAAGCAACATCAATAAGTACGAAAGTTGTATAATATAACACGAGCAAACGATGGGTACTTTTTTATGATCTTGATCTATGTCACAGAAATTGCTGATTGTTTTACTTTACGCTGATATATTGATTACATTATAAAATCAAAGATATATCAAATTTAAACACCCATATTCAGATTTGCAATACTTGTTACCTTGTTATTCTGGAAAATGATTAATATTAATATAGTTACAACGCGTGTGCAGATTTGTTTTGTTGTTGTATATAAATGGAACGTTTTTATAAACTGAAAAAGTTTATGAAACTGTGTAACCCAATTAATAAATCTGTCAGGTGTACATTTAGTTAAAACGACATTTATCTTCGTTGTAGTGAATCCGGCCAAGGCCAGCCCTGGATCCAGTTACAGTCTCATCGACTGTGATTTCGAGAAGACTTTCTGTTACTGGAACCAGGATATGACTGATGACTATAACTGGCAGCTATGGACGGCTAATACACCGACACCAAACACTGGCCCAAGCTCCGATCCAAACTCAGAATCAGGTAAGGAATAAGGCTTTAGTTAGTTTGACAGTTGGAGTCAGTGACGTAGCGTAAGGGGTATAAGCTGCCATTCTAGGGAGCGTCATTTTCCCGTAAGGTAGCCATCCTGTCGCTGCATTTGACTGGCTCAATAGGACCCATACGTCATGCGCTAGTCATCAATGTTCATGATACGCACGCACACAGAATCTGATGAGATAATTTATCAAATATGAGATTTCAAATGCAAAGCTAAGTTTACTTTAAATAAGTGACATTGCGACAAAATCGGGAGGCTTACCGTAAACGAATGACTTCCAAGATCTTAACTTGTCCGTAACCATTGCGACATACTGGTTAATTTAGTCCAGAATCTGGCCGATTTAATTTTGAATTTGATCTCCACATCACCGTACCAACGCAAATATTCATATATTCAAATATTAATATGCATTCTAGGATGGCTATCTTACGGGAAAAAGACGCTCCCGGGGAAGGGGGGGGGGGGGATTACTGGCATTACATGATCGTACCCTATCTCTCAAGTTTTGAATTGCGCAGATCCTTGAAACACGTTGGTCTCTTTGCCAATCCGCCGGGATTGAGAGGTCTATCCTTCTCAGGAGCCCCACTCACAAGCATAGCTTTTGGGGGTCTCAATTTGGATCAAGTTTGCTCGTCATGATTGCTATATCTGTTTTTGTTTTAATGAACTAAACTGAACTATACTAATATTAATCATTTTTCAGAATAGTTTGATTGTATTATATAATTATTTTCATGAAAGTATTCGCTATTGGAGTGCAAGTATCCCTTGGCGGGCGAGTGTGAAAGCTCGTTGATATTTCCGTTCGATTGCATTTGAGTGCATTGCGAAAGTGACGTATTGGTATCTCATATTATTATGTGAATTTTCTTTGGAAATTTGTATTGTAATTCATGTTCATTTTAGTTTTAACTGCCAGACACGAAAATCTTAATAAAATCCATTCATCTATCTATCTATATGAAACCTTCAATTTCGACTTGATTCCATTTGGTCCCAGGTTGGTACGCCTATGCCGAAGCTGACTTGGTGTCTCCAGGCTCCAGGGCTCGTCTTCTGTCCCCTCTAGAACACGAATCAGCAAACCAGATTGAAACGTGTCTCGAGTTCTCCTATCACATGTTCGGTGCTGACATGGGTAACCTGTATGTGTATGTCGAGAGGACTGATCTGAACGAGACAGAGATGATCCTCAAGAGGGGTGGATCAGACCAGGGCGCCCTCTGGCATGTCGCTCAGGTCAACATCGGGATCAAACCAGGAGACGGCTTCTATAGGGTTAGTTTGACCTTAGTTTGACCTTGGGTGTTTATTCAAAATTGCTTTTGATGATTGTCTTACTCTGTTTGCATTGATCTCATATGTATCGTAATTTGTAGGTATATTTGCATTTTCTTTTAGTTTTGCTTAATATGTAACTGTTTATCATTGTATTTTGTTTTTTAAAGCGCTTAGAGACTCGGTGGTTAACGCTTTATAAGCACCGTTTTATTATTATTATTATTATTGTTTATAGAAGTATTTTGATCGCCGTCATTATACATCATACATGTGTCGAAATCAAGTGGTTTGAGCTCTTGACTGGAAATGAAAAAGTTGTGGGTCCGATTCCAGATACTAATGTCTTTTGGAAAATTATGAATCTATATTTGCCACCCCATACACATGAGAGGATTGAGAACCTGGTAGGATGACGAAAGCCTTTGCGATAGTAATTGTCATATTTATAACCTCACGGTGACCAGGAAGTGGAGATGGTGCACATTCAATATTATTATTATCGTTATCGCATATTCAGTATCAAAATTGCAACCGTCATCACCAATATATTCATCATCATCCTCCACATCATCATCATTGCCATCTTATCCATCCCCATTTCTGAGCGTAGGAAGTGGTTTGAAATTATATCACAAGCAACTTTTAAAATATATTTTGCTTGCTTTTTTACAGCTCATCTTTGAAGCAGTCCGTGGAGGCTCAACATTGAGTGACATTGCTATCGACGAGGTTACATATCATAACGGAACATGCCCACCTCTTCGTAAGTACACACAAACCTTACTTGAAGAGAGAAGGCAGAGTGAACTGATTTGATGTATTTATTCGCATTCATTTACCACCAGTTGGATAGAACACCCTGATATTAAAATACGAATGTTGAAGTTGAAAGAGCTTTAAGCCATTGTAATTAAAGAGATTCATTTTGATGGTATGTGAGAATAATCAGTTCAACACATGTTCTGATTAACGTAAGAAAGAAGGAAATATTAAACTTATTTCTACGTTTTAAGTCCGAATTCAATCCATTTCATACCCGATATATGTTTTAAGTTTGGTCTAGAGTCGAGATTAACAAAGTAGCTAAACGTTCTTTGACGTTTACCTGTTTCATGCGTTACATGACTTAATTCCATGCTCCAGGCTTAGCAAATTTACTACAACAAGTGCGTAAAATTTAAGGGGCTACAATTTTACCAATAAAGTTCTAGGTGTGATTCAATTTGTTTGCAAGGTTAAATATCCTTTGAAAGAGCTCCGGAAGTCACAATTTGACGAGCAGTGTCTGAAATAAATGATTTTTCGTTATTTGTGTTCCCAGAGATATAATCCTTTGTAAATATCTCCTTTCCTTTTATCTCAACCTGGTAGGAACTTGTGGTTTTGAGACAAACATGTGGTGTGGATGGAAGCAGGATTACACCGATGATATGTTTGACTGGACCAGGGACACAGCCTCTTCCTTACGATCAGATCTTAACGATCATACCAATGGTGTGCCCTCTGGTAAGACTGTAGTGGTACCTTACGACCCGATCTTAACGATCAAACCAATGGTATTCTATCTGGTAAGACTGTATTGTTACCTTACGACCCGATCTTATCGATCATACCAATGGTATTCCCTCCGGTAAGACTGTAGTGTTACCTTACGATCAGATCTTAGCGATCATACCAATGGTATTCCCTCTGGTATGACTGTAGTGTTATCTTACGACCCGATCTTAAGGATCATACCAATGGTATTCCCTCTGGTAAGACTGTAGTGTTACCTTACGATCAGATCTTAGCGATCATGCCAATGGGGTTCCCTCTGGTAAGACTGTAGTGCTACCTTATGACCCGATCTTACCAATGGTGTTGTGTACAATGTTATCCGGTGATTCTGTGCATTGAAGTCCATCCTAAATTATGGCTTTTCTCTACGTGTTTAATTAAAACAAAAGAAGACTCTCTTTATATGACTATTGTTTCCTCAAATACAGCTTTATCGAGAAATGGCGATTCTCAGACAATAGTACATTCATTCAAGTATCATATTACAAACTACTAATCAACCTACGTTAGCTCAAAAAATACAGACAGCACAGATACATCCAGTCAACACATTAAAATACAATAACATACTAAACAATATATACAATATCATTCGAATACTATGTAAAATCTGAATTTAAAAAAGCTTTCGGTTCCGATTTGAAAAGAATGGAATCGAATATCAATTCTACCTCTTTCCTTCCGGTCTGGTCTTAGGCTACATCCTATACGCAAACCAAGGCACTCAAACATCCGGGGACTACGCCACCCTCCTAAGCCCCGCCTACTCCGCCACCTCTACCGGAGATTGTTTCTCGTTCTGGTACCACGTTCACGGGGACAATGACGTCGGATCGCTTCGTGTGTATGAGTACATAGATGGGAACCTTGTCGGCCCGTACTGGAGGTCAACAGGGGTCAATGAGGGTGATAACTGGTGGAAGGCTTCTGTCACTCTGAAATCAAAGTCGTCTTTCCAGGTTCGTTACGAGAAGAGAGAGGACGAGCAATGAGAGAGGGGGAAAGAGAGAAAAAAAGAGAAAAAGAGAGAAGAATGAATGAGAGAAAGAGATATAAATATTCCTGTTGCTTATGACTTCATTGTATAATAAGGTTCGTTACGAAAGAGAGAGAGAGAGAGGGGGGGGGGGAGATAGAGAAGAGAGAAATGGAAAGAGAAAGAGGGAGAGAGAGAGAGAGAGAGAGAAAGGAAGAGAAAGAGAATAAGAGAGAAAGAATGAATGAGAGAAAGAGAGAAATATTTATGGTTATGACTTGTGTGTCTAATATCTTTCTGTCTCCTTTATATGAAGATTGCCCTCGTTGGTGAGGTAGGAAACGACCCGACTTCTGAGCTCGCAGTAGATGACCTGCAGGTCGAGCAAGAACCTTGTGCTCCGAGAGGTAAGCTGATTCTATTCATCAAAAATATTTATTGATGAAGTTATTAAGAATAACATGTGTAGGCGGATCAAGATAAATGTGTAGAAGCAACACTAGCATATGCCTTGAACTACTCATCTATTATTACTGGAAAGTGATTCGCTATCGGCGTTATGCATCGATCAACGTCAACTTGTTAAGTTGCAGAACATAATGCCTTCCTGTATTTTGTAGTCTGCATCCGCCTCTTGTTATGACATTTCTACCTCCAATTGTTCGTGTCGATTTGTGATGTTAAAACCCCACTGCACTACTTATAGCTACTTGCGCCTTCTATAGCAAACGATGCCTAATCGGTGCCTGTTGGTCCCTCATGATCCCCCTTTTTCCCTTTGTTAATTGAGAGCTCATTTGATGAGATAGCCACCTGACAGTGACCTTGCAGGGAGGTATAATCCCCCCTGGCCAAACTATGCAGACGGGCTTTAAGATTCAAATGGAAATCTTCTCCGATTTACAGTGAAATAACAAATAGTTATTTTGACAGGGATCACTGTATCGTTGGAATATAGTTGAAAATGAAAAGTTTTTTACAGTAATGTGATGATTATGAAGTCAATTCTAAATTCAAAATCACAGACGGCAACGATTCGAAATAATCACTAACCAAAAAAGAGTTTAGGGCTTTTGTGATTTTGAAGGGGATCTCTGTGCATTTGAATATGATTAAAAGAGCAATGACCTTGGAGACATGTACATTCAACAGTATACCTAGCTTTAATCATTGCCAAATTCATCATTAAAGATGTTTCCAAAAAACAAACAAACATTGTTTTCAATTTTTCGAGGAGGCGCGATAGCTCAGTTGGTAGAGCAGTGGTCTCGTAATCCGGCCACCCGGTTTCGAAACAAAGGAACTTACACTTTGGTACGGCATTAATCCTCATTACCAGGTCCCTTGGAGAAGACATAACGGCGTCGGTCCTCTGGTTGCGTACTAAGAAGCATTTATGCTTTCTTAGCAGTCAAGTAAAATAACCATCACCTCATCCACTTTCAGGTTCTTGTGACTTTGATACGGATTACTGCACCTGGATGAATGCAGTCTCTGGAGATGACTCAGACTGGGTGAGGGTTAATGGAGCTGCTGTAGGTGCTGGGACAGGACCTACCAAAGACCACACCACAGGGGCTATGCTGGGTAAGAAAGGTTTCCACGACATTATCCCCGACCCAGGCGCATAGAGGGAAGGCACATGCCCCTTTAATCAAATGATGAAGAACAAAACTAGACAGGTGGAAAAAGGATAACAAGAGAGAAACATGGGGGGGGGGGGGGGTCAAATAGAAACATATCAAGAGGACAAAAAAGCACACCTTAAGATAATTAGATAAAGACCCCTTACCCGCCATTACCAAAAACAGATGCCTTGCACGAACAATCCAAAAACTGTAGAGAATTACTGGTACATGCAGTAACTACCTTCATTGGCGCAATAGTCGTAATCGAAACGACGCCTCGTGCGCACGAGGCCTTGGTGTCCTTCCTGATGTGTACACCAATGTGGTTACCGTTAACCCTACGTAGATTTTTCGGCATGGCCATTCTGGTATACTGAACAGCTGATATAGATACCGGTGAGAGTGACATCGTACGAGTCAATACAAAAGAACAATGCAATTAAACAATCATCGGTATTCAGGCTTATTTATTTCACTTGCTTGGTGAGAGCAAAGGCAATATCAATGATAATGTACCATGGGCACAAGTATTACAGAGTACCGAGGTGTGACGTCATACTGCATGGCCAGGTTGTCAATGTTGGTGGTACCAAACGATGTTGTGCTATACAATGGCGTGGTGATCACACCAGTCCCAACCACTGAATGTGTCCGCCTCCATGCATGTAGCCCATAATGCTTGAGTGGTTGGATGTGGAACATCAGACTAGGATCCGTTGTTTAGAACCATTCAACATCCCCTAGAGAGTTGCTGCCCACATCTACCAAACCCTTCCACCTAAGAAGATCTGGAAGCACCGACCCCTGCACGATGCATTGCATCCAACACTGGACTGGGAACCGACCCCCACTCAGTGTTATTTAGGTCACGCGTTTGCATGTTCCCTCCCTTTGAAAGCATCCCCCTAAGTCCGGTGTGTAAAGTCAATACGGGCCGATTTTGGTGTGTATTTCGAGCCGGACATAATTACTTGAAAACTACCCTTTTACCGGAGATTTAGGGATCATGAAAGCGGTCCCTCTGTTCCCGGAATCGGGGGCCAGGACTGGGACAATCTAATCAAGAGTGGCGTAGTGACCCGAGAAGAAGAAACTGGACAACGAGCGAATATGACCTTATCATTTCGGTACTTTATTCTCCCGTCTTGTTTTGTTTCTTCATCAGGTTCGTTCGTGTACACTGATGCTGTTGGTATGGGCGACACTGATGTGGCATGGTTATTGAGTGAGGTCTATCCTGCTGGTGATGTGTGCTTCTCATTCTGGATGCATATGAACGGTCCAGGTAAGGTCAAGGGTCAACAGGTCAACAGGTCAATGTTACAACATTTATTTACTCTCCCAATAGATGGAATACCCTAACAGGTCTTATGCAATAATAATAATAATAATTATATTATAATTTTATAGCGCATTTCAAGTCTGTTGACATTTCAATGCGCTTTACAATATACAAATATAAAGTATTACACGATCATAAAAGGAAGATGAAACATATATAGAAAACAATGAAGTGCTATATTTGTAAACAAAAAGAAAAAAATACAACATTACTTATCCTTTAATACTATTGATGTGCTAATTTGAAAAGATGAGTTTTAAGTTCAGATATGCATGTTTCAATATTGGATATATAACGAAGTGAGTTTACATCTCTTCTTAAAAATATCTCTTTCTCGCCATTTCTTTGTTAGGCTTTGTAGAAAATAAAATGGAGTAAAAATTGACATTCAATGTAGTGAAATTGAAAGCTGATATTTCGAGTGTAGGAATCAAACATGGAAAACACCACATGGAATAATTTCATTTGGATTGCTTACATCAATGCATATTTGGGCTTAACCTTGAATACCCCACCAATAGGATTAATGTACTTAAACCAGGAAGCTATAATGAATGGAGATACCGTCTCGAAAGAATTTTCCGAGGGAAAATTATTCAAGATTAACCTGGCTTAACAAAAAGAAATGTAACCCTCTCCAGCCATCATTTCCATCAACAGCTGTCCATATCAATGCACAGTCCCTCTCTGGCATTCCAAATAGTACGAAATGTTACGCAACGCCATCTGCTTCCCTAAGTTCTCTATTCACTCGTTTGCAAAAATATGCAAGCATCGGGCTTTGAAGCCATGCGTGGCACCGACAAATTAAGTCATGTTCATGGAAGATGTATTTAGCTATAACATATAAAATGCAGAATTCACAACATTATGACCAATGCAACTTTCTATTAGTCATCAAATGCGTTTTCCGTTCTCGGATAGCTCTACTGAAGACATGGCCATTTTAACCAGCGAAATCGACCAAGGAAATCATGACTTAGAGCGAATGAAAGATTTTCATAATCATGATTTTCTCATCTAATTATTGACATTTTCCGAAAATTTCCGAAATTTGTACATAGCTAGGAAGGTAGTCCAAGGTTTATCTTCCTAAAGAACTAAATGAAATTGTGTTATATGTTTGCGCATTTATTGATTTAGGGCTAGAAGTTGTCAAGTTAGCACCACTATTCACCCAAAGTACGGGCCAGCAAAGCAAAAGCCGCCGTGCTCGCTGGGCTGGGCTGTGTGTGGAAAGGGAGGACTTAGTGCTACTAGGGAGCTGTAAGGTTTTGGAGGGGGATTAAGGGGATTACGGTAGGGGAAACAAAAGACGCGCGGTGCCACGGATGACTTCAAAGGGGCCTCTTGGACGGGATCTCCATTCATTACAGCTTCCTGCTTAAACGTTGAAGACCTAGGGTTAGGGATAGGGTTAGGATTATGTTTAGTGTTACTTATTACTTAACTCTTGAGATTTAGTTTTATTGGTGAAGTATTTGGTACCCTACGAACGTTTGGTCAATTTTTGTGGTATTCTCAAGTTGCTCCCATATTTGATTCCTTTAAGGTTTATCTCTGAACCTTTACACGGAGGACCAATCAAATCACGTGAAGGACCTCGCTTGGACCAGGTCTGCAAACCTAGGAGATCGATGGGTCCAAGGCCTGGTCTCTCTGTCTAGTCCTGACGCGTATCAGATCATCTTAGAAGCACTCTACAGTGGAAACCCAGATGGCAGTATCGCTCTCGATGACACAATGGTCGCTGAGGGCAGGCTTTGTAATGGTAGGTAGATGATTGTATATACTTTCTTTCTTTCATTCTTATTAAAGCCGGCCTGTTCTAGTTTTGCTAGTACAGGGGATTAGACCTCTCTGCAAGGTCACTGATAAGTGGTTATCTCATCAAATCAGCTCTCAATTAACATAAGAAAAAGGGGATCATGGGGACCAACGCGCACCGATTAGGCATTGTTTGCTATATAGAGGGCGCAAGTAGCTATAAGTAGTGCAGTGGGGCTTTAACAAATATGATATTCCATAAAACCAATGGATATAGAAGAAAACAAATTACAACAGAACACTTATGTATGTAAGTGATGCCCGTACTTGTCTTGATTTATTAGCGACGTGGCAGTGTTTCACAACAACCGTCCTAAATACACGTGTAACTATGCTGAGATCTTCTGGCAAATTAATACTTGTTTCAATGGGATGATGGCAAAGTTATTCTTATGGTGGTATCGTGAAAGGATGTCCAGGGGGGTGTTTCACAAACCCTTTTTTCAATGGCAAATGACAAATATCAATGACAAATCTGCTGATAACCAATCAGAAGCAAGGATTTCAGTAGCTTATAACAAAAACTGTCATATGTCACTGATGACAAGTTTTGTGAAACGCCCCCTGGGTTGATCATTTAGTTGACTGGTGGATTAATTTTACATGACTACATAGATGGTAGAGCACTTAACTGTGTGCACTGCAATAAGCAAGCACAACACAACATATCATGGAAATAACAAGTTGGTAGTTTGGAAGGGGCGGGGGTAGTTGATAATATACCGTTCAAATATGTACAAGAGAAATGTCAAAAGTACAGGATAGTACAGGATAAAACAATTATGTTCATTCATTCGTTGACCGTTGGATCCGCCCGTAGAGTATAAAACACGCTTGCTTACATTATATTTTATCACCTGACAAAGTGTTGCAGCGGCGCACGAAACGTCGTGATCTTTTAGATCCCTTGTTGACCATACATTGCGAGACAAACGAATATCCCTAGCGATATTATTTTCGATGTTCATTCTTATTCTCAGATACCAGTCCAGCTAACTGTGATTTCGAGGATGGCATGTGCGGCTACGAACAGGCTACAGGTCATGACTTTGATTGGTTGAGAAACCAAGGGAAAACCCCCTCTGATAACACAGGACCTGACTACGATCATACCACCATGACATGTAAGCATTGAACACTCTAAAGCTTTGATTGGTTGAGAAACCAAGGGAACCCCCCCCCCCCCACTCTGATAACCAAGGGAAAACTCCCTCTGATAACCAATGGAAAACCCCCTCTGATAACCAAGGGAGAACCCCCTCTGATAACCAAGGGACCCCCCCCCCCCTGATAACCAATGGAAAAACCCCTCTGATAACCAAGGTAAAAACCCCTCTGATGACCAATGGAAAACCCCCTCTGATAACCGAGGGAAAACCCCCTCTGATAGCACAGGACCTGCCTACGACCATACCACCTTGACATAATGAGCATATAGCACTCTAAAGCAGTGCAGTGCACTACGACTCCTGAAGGGAATCATGTAACATGTCCCAAACTCTACTGCAATGAAATAAAGATAGAGAGAGAGTGGCAGATATGAAAACGACCATAGAGGAGGTAGTGGAATGTGTGATATAACATACAATCCAAGTTAATTCAGTAATTGTTTAAACAGGTATAACTTTAACAAAAATGTGTCGAGGTACTCAGTGAGTGGAGATTGTGCACACAGTGTGTGCGGACAAGCACTGAATCCAATGACCAGGGTAATAGTATATTTGTAAAGCGCTTAGAGACATTTGTTTTAAGTGCTATATAAAAACTAAATTTTACTAATTATTAAATTAAGGGCATCTTGCAAAAGTCTTGATTAAATATAATTCCCCCCCCCCCCCCCCAAAAAAAATGAAATTATCACATTTAGCTTTACAACAACTCAAGATCGCAAACTCTATCATATCTTGAATTACTTCGTTGAAAGCTCGCAGATATACTATGTTACTGAGTTTTACCGAGTGTGGAATAAATGGTGGAGCTAAGCAATAGTCGGAAAAGTGAGGTAAAGCGACGCTGAGGTGTCATGGTATAGTTGCTTATTCACTTGACTCGCAATCCAAGGGCTAAGGGTTCGAATCCCAGCCCGGCACTAACGTCCTGAATGAGGAAGATCAGCATTGATGCTGCTGCTGAGGCATCCCTGGGCCTCGTTGCACAAAGCTTACCATTGATGGTAACTTTGCCATCAATGGTAACTACCACGACAGAAACCTTAAATTTGATTGGCTGTTGAGAGGGCCTCCGGTCCTGAAAAGCGCTATATAAAAACGAGCTATTGTTATTATTATTATGGTAGATGCCATTGATGGCAAAGTTACTATCAATGGTCAGTTTTATTCAACCCCCTGGTAACAAGACCATGATTATTATTACAAATTTTGATAACAAGATATTTCTGTCCCTCTTCGATACCCTGTAGCTGAAGGCTGGTACATGTACATGGAGGCATCAAGCCCTAACATGGCAGGTATGGAAACCCGTCTCCTCAGTCCGGTCATTGACCTCACCACACGACTATGTCTTCATTTCTGGTACCATATGTTTGGCCGTGAAGTGGGGACATTGAATGTCCTCACGCGTCGCGAGTCCGCCGGACCTTCGGACATTGGGTCAGTACTATGGACACGGAGTGGTCAAGTAGGTGACCAATGGATGTCAGGAACACTGGTCGTAGGCGAACCAGATTCATTCAGGGTAGGTACTACTTAAATTCACTCCTTATCTAATTCATTGGTTTTTATTTGTCGGTGTTATTACTCATGGCTGTGATTGGCATAAGGGGTAATTGTTCAGAGGTTATAGTCCTCAGAGTGTAATTGTTCAGAGGTTATAGTCCTCAGAGTGTAATAGTTCAAAGGTTATAGTCCTCAGAGTGTAAATGTTCAGATGTTATAGTCCTCAGAGTGTAAATGTTCAGAGGTTATAGTCCTCAGAGTGTAATAGTTCAAAGGTTATAGTCCTCAGAGTGTAATTGTTCAGAGGTTATAGTCCTCAGAGTGTAATAGTTCAGAGGTTATAGTCCTCAGAGTGTAATTGTTCAGAGGTTATAGTCCTCAGAGTGTAATTGTTCAGAGGTTATAGTCCTCAGAGTGTAATTGTTCAGAGGTTATAGTCCTCAGAGTGTAATTGTTCAGAGGTTATAGTCCTCAGAGTGTAATTGTTCAGAGGTTATAGTCCTCAGAGTGTAATTGTTCAGAGGTTATAGTCCTCAGAGTGTTATTGTTCAGAGGTTATAGTCCTCAGAGTGTAATTGTTCAGAGGTTATAGTCCTCAGAGTGTAATTGTTCAGAGGTTATAGTCCTCAGAGTGTTATTGTTCAGAGGTTATAGTCCGTTTTTATGTCACCTTCCTTTTTTTAATTGTATTATCATAGTTGGTGTTTCAAGGCATCGTCTATGGGCACGAGGGCGATATAGCTATCGACGATATCAGCATGTACTCAGGAGACTGTCAACGTAAGTATAAAAGATGATCGCAAGAACTTTCAAGAAATAAACTCAGAGGCAATTGAATATAAATCAAGTTCAGGTTACGTAATACCTCATTATCTATTATCTTATCTATATTATCTATATTTATATATATATATATACATATTTTTTACATGTTGTTAACATATTTAAAGAAAAGATGAGTTCTGGTCATGCGATTGCATTGTGAAAGAAATGGTGTGGAGTCGATCAGAAAAAAAGTTGATAATGTAGCATGTACGTATTGGTGTGTACTGCAAGGTTCTTGAGCCATCAAAATGATTACAATTATTGCCCAGTCTTGGTTAAAGGAACAAGCGCCGTACACAGAAAGATGTATCTGAGACTTCACAAAGATGTGCCACTAAAATTGGCCCTCATTTTAAGCTGCTACTTGTCATGTTTAGAATATGAAGGCATTTGAAAAGCCATGCTTTTCAGGGAATATTTTTTTCTGTGATGTTCTTCCACACTTGCATAATAGCGATGATAACGCTCACAAATTATTTTTCACCTCTTCCTAGAACTCAACCTTCTCTTTAGTCTACGGCCAACACGGCCATTGTGGAAAGCAGCTTTGCTACTGATAATTCTACCCAGTGCAAATTTAGCAACTACTAAATGCATAAATAAATGAATGAAGAAATGAATAATCGAAAATAATATCGCTAGCGACACTCGTTTTTCTCGCAATGTATGGTCAACAAGGGATCAAATGATCACGACGTGCGCCGAAGAAGTGTTGCAGCGGCGCACGAAACGTCGTGATCTTTTGATCCCTTGTTGACCATACATTGCAAGACAAACGAATGTCACCAGCGCTATTATTTTCGGTACTATATCCGCAATATACAGTAGGCTTGCGGGTGCACCATGTGAAAGAGAGGGGGAGGATTGAGGAGTCCTGAAAAAGACTCTCGGTAATCTTTCTTGAGGGTGTGTAGTCCTGAAAAGGACTGTTGGTATAGTCTTGAAAAAGACTGTTGGTTATCTTTCTTAGCTTATAGTTCTAAGGAGAACTATAGCGCTCGGAGAGGATGGGTGACGGGAGTGGCTCGACGTTTCAAACAGGTTGACTATCCGTCGTCAGGAGTGGAGATTAGGGACTTTTAGATTCGCTCGAAGACAATGTGGATTGCTACGGTCGACGTCCTCTTAATGCACTGCCTTGAATGGACGTCACAGTATTAGTCCACGCAAATCTAAAAGTCCCTAATAGCTGGCGTGCGTGAGCTTATATCCGTAATGAGTAATATATTTAGCATTATAAATAATTTAATTAACTTATAACTGGATAAGTTAATGATTATGTGAAAGATGATATTAAATTCTTGTTATTTGATAGGGACGTTGAGCTGTGAGTTCGAGGATCCTCAGATTTGTGGCTACGTCCAAGACACGATCGGGGATGACTTTGATTGGACCTTCTGGTCTGGGGACACGCCCACTTCCAATACTGGACCCTCTGTTGACGTCACATACGGCACCACCTTTGGTGAGAATACTAGTTGGCTGTCCTCAGACAAATTTAATATGATTGATCTGAGTTTGAGTTTGAGTTTGAGTTTATTGGTTTCACATTTCACATGCAGTTATATTGTTACCAGAAGAGGATAGATTTTAGATATTGCTTGAAAATATTGACATATTGTTGGTTACGAAGAGATATCGGTAGGTTATTCTTCAGTTTAGGAGCGGCAGCTGTGAATTCTCTGTCACCAAGTGTGTGTAGCATCTTGGGAGATGGGTGGTTCAGTGTGATGCTTTGAGCTAGAGGAGCGAAGGGAATAGCTGGATGGTTACCGTATAGTTATAAGTTCAGATAGTTAGGGAGGAGCCAAACAGTGAATGCGTTTATTTATTTATGTGGTTACTCTGGGTAAAAATTTAAAATTAATAATATTATTTCTATTTTTGTGCAAATACACACCCTCGCAGGTCATTACATGTATACGGAGCTCTCTGGAAAACGGTCTTATGGTAATTCTGCGAGGCTTTTCAGCCCTCATGTTTCCATGGAAACCACACAAACCGTTTGTTGGAGGTATTACTACCATATGTTTGGACGGGATGCCGGGATATTCCAAGTTGGAGTAAGTCAATATTCAATTCGTTTCAAACTTAATATTAACAAATCCCCCTACCATAAAGAAGAAAGTATTGTGTCCAATGAACATATAAATGTCTATCTTCTGTATAACCAACCAGCTAGACGATGTTAATCAATTTGAAGGTATTTATTTCCTGTACATCAGTTTGGTCAACAGAGATACTTTGCTTCGGTACATTAATAATTTTCTCTTCAAATATTTCTATAGCCGGAATAAAGAGTAAAGAAATAAGAGCCGTTTCTAACATATGACCATTTTATGGTATAGTGGTTCATTCGATCCAAGAGTTAAGGAGTTGAATTCAAGCCTGGCACTAATGTCCTTCGACAAGAAATTAATTCACATTTACCACTCTCCACCCAGGTGTAAGTAGAACTTGCTGGGGTAGTGATAATTGTCTGCTCTCAGGAATAATAACATTGGGTAAACAAATATAATATTGTTATCGTTTTAATTATTATTATTATTATATGATTGTTATTTAATAGGAACTTGTCATTATATACCATGTATAATACTGTTGTAATTTGTAGGTTAGTATTACTTGTATATGTTTTGTTAAGCGCTAATAAACCTTCTATTAAGCGCTTTATAAATGTACCTCGCATGTTGAGAGACAGGAGGGCAATAATATATAGGTTAAAGTATACTGAGTTAAAGCCATTCCGCCTCTCAAGAGACGATTTTTTTTTTGCTGTATCATTTCTGTCTGTTTTGTTGTTTTATATTTCCTATGTAGTACCGTGATATGAATTTCGTTCAAAACACGTTAGCGACTTTATCAGGGAATCAGGGCAACGAATGGAAGGAAGGTAAGCTACATTGCAATGCTAGGGGGTGTTTCACAAAGATTCTAAGTCCAACTTAACTCTAAGTTGGACTTAAAAAGTATGGAAAGCCGTTAGCATCATTGAAAATATTTGGTAAAAATTAATTTAAAAGACATAAAATGTTGATTCAAATCTTTCATATTTTCTATCATCAGAGAGATTTCATGTTCTTGATGTGGAATTTAAGAAAAGTCTAAAATACTAGTTTTTTTTTGTTGTTGAATATATTTCATTTAAGGCTACAAATGGCTCTCCACATGGATCACATGGTTCATTGTTCGAGTCCTTCCGAGGCACTAATTTACTTTGGCAAGATGTTAATCTCCATTTGCCACTCTCCACCCAGGTGTGAAATGGGTAGCCAGTATGATATGGACGTTGGTGTGGTAGGGCTGGTACGTGTGCGCCTGTAAAAAAGCACTTGGCCTGATTAGCATTTTTATCCGATGACCAGGGTTATAGTAATTTCAATGTTATTAAGCGCTTAGAAACGTAGTAGGTGATTTCTGTATTATCATTGTTATTATTATTATTATCAAGTTTGTTGAGTTGAAGGTGACGAGGGATAATCCTAGATTTCTTGTTGTATAGTAAATAATATTATAATTATCATTATCATTATTTTTATTTATATTATTATAATTGAAGATGAGTATTACATTGTGAAAGAACTGCTCTGAAGCAAAATGAAGAAAAAAAAAGAAGAAATATTCGAGATTTGTTGAATGAGTAAAAGAACATGGAAGAAATTGCTGTCGAGACCTTAATATCTACATGTCATTTGAGTGCTCTTTAAAATTGTAAAAATTACTTTATCGCAAAGATTTCCGAGAAATAATTTCAAGAGCATTTTCAAAGTTTTTTCAAGTTCAGATTACTGAATACCTCACTGAAATGTGGACTAATCGACAAAGTTATTGAAAATGCCATATTCTATGTACTCGAAAGCTTTTGCAATCCTGTTAATTCAGAATGGAAAACATTTAATATTGACTTGATTTTAATCGAACGAAATAGAGCACATTTGATTTTAATTGAATTTAGCTTAATTAAATTGAATTGAATTGAACTGAAATTAAGCGGAGGAAATTAAATTGAAATGAACTCAAATGAAAAGTATTGAATTGACTTGAAATGAATTAAATTTAATTGAATTAAATTTAATTGAATAGACTTGAATTAAATTAAATTTAATTGAACTAATTGAATGGATTTGACTATGCAGGTCAAGTGGAGGTCACTGCCAATGGCTATGAGATGTACTTTACTGGTTACTATACCAGCGGAGATGAAGGCGATTTAGCTCTCGACTCGGTTTCCATGACACCAGGACGATGTGGTGAGTGACCTTTGCTACTCTGACCTTTGAAATAATATTGTCTGCCGAAAAAGGTTCTACATTTCCTAATACCAGGAATGTAATATTAAGGTTAATTTAAATTGAAGAACTTACATTTTTGTTCACGTATTATCAAATGCTAACTGAATCCAATTCCGAATTGAAAAGTAAAGCTGCGTTCTAAAACGCCTCATGATATGATGACATAAAGTGTATGATAAAATGCGTTGACGAATGGAGCCAATGAGAAGCATCTAAATGGATCACGTGTGCGTGAATTGACTTTTACCATAAGCACAATTATATAATGTATGTACAAGAAGAATTGCAATTTTACTACCATAATGTTACCATGCATATGTTTTACCCGTATTTTTACTTTGTAACTGACGTATACATTGTAAAAGAAATTGCAATTCGGCTCTCGGGCCGCGAATGTTTTCGAATGAAATAAACCATTAAAAAAAAGAAAAATGAATACATATATGCACGGGGAGGGCATTTTGATGATAGCAACCGTCAATTTCTCGACTTAACACTCATATTGTAGCCCAAGCGCGTACGCTGGGGTGGGTTGGGGATGTTTTGAGGGTTAACCCCCTCCCTCATTTTTCACCTCAAGGGAGGGAGTAATAAAAAAATACCCCCCCCCCCCTGCGTACTCGCCTGGGCAACAATATGAGTATAAAGTCGAGAAATATCTTGATAATAATCAGACAGGCGATCGGCTTGTAAAAGTCATGGGATTCCTGAAAAACCTAAAGGTTTATAATTATGATTGCAGCATGAGCTAAATCAAGGATTTTATTTAAGAAATTGAGGCAAACTTACCCACTCCTTTTAATATGGTTGACATTTCTTTGCAGTTGATTGTGACTTTGAGAGTAGCTGGTGTGGTTGGGTCAACTCAGAAGGAGATGATTTTGACTGGGTCAGATGGAGAGGTCAAGCTTCTACATCAGCCACCGGTCCGGCCTATGATCATACCAGACAGACAGAAGCCGGTAGGTTATCCAATCCAAACAAATCCCATCCAATCCAATTCAATCCAATCCAATCCAATTCAATCCAATCCAATCCTATCTTATCCAATCCAATCCAATTCAATCCAATCCAATTCAGTCCAATCCAATTCAATTCAATCCAATCCAATTCAGTCCAATCCAATTCAATTCAATCCAATCCAATCGAATTCAATCCAATCCAATTCAAATCAATCCAATCCAATCCAATTCAATCAAATCCAATCCAATCGAATTCAATCGAATTCAATCCAATCTAATTCAATTCAATCCAATCCAATCCAATCTGATGCAATCCAAAAGATAAAGATATATCGCCTTTTCACTGCAATTACAAAACGCTGCACACACAGATTAATTCTCTTATGGAAAGTGAGACATTGTTTCATGTTTTCGAACAACTTCTGTATAACGGTTTTCGGTAGATAAGAGTCTGAATTTCGGAATAAACATTACAGTATCATAATTATAATTTTAATGATAATTTAGGAAAAATATTATTAAAAAAAGCATGGGTTGATTACGTATACATTTTACATTTTGGAGTTTACACTATAGTAGCCTACCCCCCCCCCCCCGATACCAAGGGCCCAGTGCAAATATATGTAAATCTGCGGCTAGAGTGAACAGATTGAACACCTTTTTTCTTTTTTCTTTTTTAAGTGGGAACAAAATATTTGACTAAGGCCAATTTATTGTTTTTGGAAATGCAAATAGATACCCAAAGAAGAATTATCATGATAACAAATGAATTTAGCATCTCTGGTTCATGTTTTGTATTGTTCCTTTGTCAGGCCACTACCTCCTTTTCGATACGAGTGCACCTAGAGTACTGGGTGAATTAGCGCACGTCTATAACGTGTTTGAAACAGCTGATAATGAAATGGCTTGCTTCACCTTCTGGTTTCATATGTTTGGAGACGACGTTGCGGAACTGGAATTGATTAGGTAAGGATTATACGTGTGGAGACGAGGTTGCGGAACTGGAATTGAATAGGTAAGGATTATATGTGTGGAGACGAGATTGCGGAGCTGGAATTGATTAGGTAAGGATTATATGTGTGGAGACGAGATTGCGGAGCTGGAATTAATTAGGTAAGGATTATATGTTTGGAGACGAGGTTGCGGAGCTGGAATTAATTAGGTAAGGATTATATGTGTGGAGACGAGTTTGCGGAGCTGGAATCAATTAGGTAAGGATTATATGTGTGGAGACGAGGTTGCGGAGCTGGAATTAATTAGGTAAGGATTATATGTTTGGAGACGACGTTGCGGAACTGGAATTGATTAGGTAAGGATTACATGTGTGGAGACGAGGTTGTGGAACTGGAATTGATTAGGTTAGGATTATATGTGTGGAGACGAGGTTGCGGAACTGGAATTGATTAGGTTAGGATTATATGTGTGGAGACGAGGTAGCGGAACTGGAATTGATTAGGTAAGGATTATATGTGTGAAGACGAGTTTGCGGAGCTGGAATTGATTAGGTAAGGGGTACATGCGTTGAGACGATGTTGCGGAGCTGGACTTGATCAGGTAAGGAGTATATGTGTGGAGACGAGGTTGCGGAGCTGGAATTGATTAGGTAAGGAGTATTATGACTTCCTTTTGTAATATGATACTTTCCTGATTCAATATGTGTGGAGACGAGGTTGTGGAACTGGAATTGATTAGGTAAGGAGTATTAGGACTTCCTTTTGTAATATGATACCTTCCTGGTTTCATAATTATGTTTGGAGACGAGGTTGCGGAGCTGGAATTGATTAGGTAAGAATTATTATAAAAGAAGGTACATCATTTTGTTATTTCAAATTAGGCTTTAATATATATTGTTCCCATTTATTTTGAATATTTCTTATGGTGATACAAACTCATTATAAAACTTTAGAAGTAAGCATAAAAATGTTTTTATATTGTTTAAAAAATCTCGGAAACGGATAACAACACTTAAAGTCGAACGAAATATGAAATGATTTATATTTGGACTCCTTTTTGCTTTGAAATGTTAAACAGGTCACCTAGTGCTACTGGGATTGTAGAGTTCGTGTGGAGGTTGAGAGGGAGTCAGAATGCAGACCAAACAACCTGGCTTCAAGGACAGATCCCAATCCAAGGAAGCAACCTGGTGGGTGTGTCACAAAGACTAAGATTAAATTTATGTTTGACTTAACTATGGCAGGCCGTTCATGCCACTAGTTCTTCTAACCATTCCTAGTATTGGTTTCTGAAGAGAATTACAAATTGTAGTCACAAATCTTCAGAATCTACCTTTTTTAGAGTTTATTCTTGGAGGAAACAAATATTTCCTAAAGATCATAATTGAGAGACCAATGGTGAGAGCAACCATTGGCATAAATGACCTGCCATAGTTAAGTCAAACTCAAAGTCGATCTTAGTCTTTGTGAAAAACTCCCCACGTGTGTTCACGTTCTTACTATTAAAAAGGATACACATTCAAGATAAGCTTGAGTTCTGGTAATGATAGCAAATCAATTCTCACATAATACAGCAAAACTTACACTGAATGTTCAAGATTACAAATAAATGACATGTGCCAAAGATTTTTGTAGAAAATGTATAGGGGCTGAGTAATGAGCATAGAAAATCAAGGTAAGTAGGCCCGACATGTGTGCTTAACAAAGGTCAATATGTGCAAATGAGAGTTGTGGTTTTTATTGGAGATAATTTCCAGCAAGTTTGTGTGAGGTTTTTTATCTGCAGGATAACCAATGTTCTCTCGACATGCGATTCCCATTCCAGAGCTCAAGATTAGCTTTAAAGGCCCGCTCAGACATTACGCGGTAAACCGCCGAGAAACACCGTCGCAGTTTGTTGTTGTTGTGTGTAAATGAATGGCAATCACGCAAAACAAAGGTCTTACGCGTAAGAAATAAGTTCCGTGTTATAAGATACATATATTATACGTCACTAAACTAAAATATAGCACCGTGGTTTTGCATATCTGAGCAAGGCAATCTATCTGTAATAACATTGTAAAAAATGGGCCGACTCTTACGGGAACGAAGGAGCAATACCCCCCCCCCCCTTGATATTCGATAATACCTCTTCCAATGAACTATGCAAAATTAGATACTTGTGGATGAAGAATGTGTGTATGTAGCTTGGATAACAGAAGAATAGAATAATAACAATTATTTTGAAGGCATCTTGAACATAGTCAGGGATAATTCTTTTATTATTATGGCACTGTCCCAGGATGAGATTTGCGGTTTTGCAGATGTGCAGATTTGCATCGTCTTTATCAAGAGATTTTGTTCTTACCTCTCGAAAGCAAGGTTTCCCTTCTATCATTCCTTCAAGTAATATCTTCTGTAGCCCACACCTCCTCTTAATGTCCGGCTTATCTTTTTAGTAACTCCTTTATATGTCAAGCTCCCTCTTATTTACTTGTATTGCCCTTTGCAGCGCCTCTTTATTGAGATGTTTTAATGGATATAGTCGTAGTTATCGTCATCATCACCGTCATTACTATTTTTATATTCATAGTATATTTATATTTCTATTTCATATTCTAGCTCGCTTTTACCGGAACTGTTGGTCCTGGGTATCGTGGTGATATTGCTTTGGATGACTTCCTGTTTGTACCAGGAGACTGTATAGGTAAGAGACGTCTTCTAAGAGGCATCGTTTAACAATATTACGCCTGAGATGCATGGCCCTACGTATTATCAGTGTCTGTGATATGGTCTAATATTGAAGCCCTTAACAAATCGTGCTTCAAAATGGTCATGAAGTGCCTCACAAAGCAAACATGTTTGAGTGACCGGCTTTACCATACTTATTTCCTCCAATAGACTTTAGTGTTATAAAAACCATTGGGAAAACGTTTTTTTTTTTTCTGATTTGCAATCATAGATATTTTGATAATCAGACAGGCGATCGGCTCGTAAGAGTCATGGGATTCTTGACTAACCCAAATGTTTATAATAATGAATGCCGCGTGAGCTAAATCAAGGATTTTTTTTATAGAATCTGAGGCAAAGATACCCAATCATAATCATCACAGATTTTTAGCTACAGAGTATTATGATCACCAGATATATTTTGCATTTGATATTTAATTTGTAATTAAAAGTTCCTAACTGCTTATTCAATCTGCCTGATTCACAATTTGCCACGGACATTATTTTAAATATTTTAGTGTATTTGTTTTCTTATTTGTCTATATCCTTTTTGGTAATAATAGTAATTGTTTTGCGCCTTTTCAAGTATCTGTGTTTGCTTCAAATTTGTCTTATATTCTTCTTCATGTATAATGTTTATAAAAGCAGATTTCTGATGGAGTGGGTAATTAAGATAAACAGAGTGCCATCTGTTTTGAAATTGTAATATATCCATTTCTCTTGCTCTTCTCTGTACCTTGAAATGCTATTCACCTTGCTTATTAAAGCAATGACACTTTTTGTATTTATGTATGTGCCATTAACATGTATACAAAATATATGCTTTGATTTATTTGTATCTCATTTTAGTGTTACCCAGGGAAGCTGATCTACTACCCCCTAAGACCACGCCCATTCCTTCAACGACACCCACACCCGGTAAGATCAGCCAATCCAGAGCCAAGTTTCATAAAACTTGTTATCAAAAACAAATAATAATAATAATAATAATAATAATACATAAGATTTATAAGGCGCCAAATCAACTTGACAGTCAAATGCTCAAGGCGCAGCTTGTGCAAACAAGATGAAATTCACGATACATAGGAAAGGTACAAACATGAACGGTTATGGTAATCAGTTATAAGCTAAATTAAACAGATATTTCTTAAGCTTGTTTTTTAACACTTCAGCAGAACCGCTATTCTTAATCCATTGAGGGAGAGTATTCCATAGTGAAGGCCCAGATATATGACAAATCTGCTCATAGCATATAAAATGCAATGATTTCAGTAGCTTCAAACAATTATCGTAACTTGATATTAGGTTTTATGAAGTATGACCTAGAAGTGGTTCGAGAAAGCTTTTTTTTTTGGGGGGGGGGGGAGGGGGAGCGGTGAGAATGGGGGCATGGGGGTTCTCGCATTTATTTTCTAATTGTGCCTCGCTTATTATTATTATTTTTGTGGTGTGGTGTGGGGGGGGGGGGGGGGCTTAAAATGAGAGGCGGTGGGCGAACTCCACCATTTACTGTTACTGACACAATCTGATGTATATTCCAAGAAGGTTTAAAGAAGAAGAGACAGAAGATAATAAGATGTACACATTTTCGAGACATAAAGAGGAAATTACCGAGAGAGATGTAATGTATAGTATATTAGATAAAGCAGAGACAATAGCAAATTAAAATATTTTGTTCTCTTTAATGAGCGTTATATTTAACATATTTGTAAAATGTATATTACCCAGATATAAGCCATTAATGATTTACCTTTGTTGGAATATAAAGTTCACACGTTTCATTTTTTTTTTTTTTTTAATTTCACACTATGATAAAAATCACAATAACAAACATTTACAATACAAAGTCAATTCAAACAAATACCACAACAGAATAGAATAATCAAAATGTGTAGGGGGGACAAACAAAGGCCAAAGGCCTATCAAAGGCTTGTCCCCAAACTATATAAATAATTAAGTATAAATTAAGTGGTACAACAGGAAGAAAAAAAAACAAGGCAAACGTACCGCTTTGCAGACTCAGAGGGTGTATGATTAAACAAGATCAGATGTATATATTCTTTTAAAACTAGATAAGGAAGGGCGTTTTTTTTTTTAAATATCCGACCCAATGTTATTCCACAATTTATAACCACTAAATTTGATTGTGGTACGGGAAAATTCATACTTATATTTTGGAATTCGAATGTGGTTGGACTGTCTAGTAGAGTATGGTAGAGTACGTTTTAATGAAATAAGGTTATAGAAGAATTTTATCATGACATTTATCATGCAATTCCAAAAGGTCATGTCTTGCAGCTACAAATATAGTCAGTAAAACAACAACGTGTTCTAAAACTGCTGAAACAAAATCAAACATAGACTGTCAATGAATTTGAAGGAATCGAGTTTAATCCGTGACTCACATATAAAAGTATTAATGATAATCTTTTGGAATCCCTTTGCTCAGCTCCCAATCCATACAGCTGTGATTTTGAAGCGGATTTCTGCATCTACTCACAATCAGTAGACGATGATATGAATTGGACGAGAAAAAAAGGTCCAACCGGTTCATATGATACAGGCCCATCCCAGGATCATACTACTGGAGCAGGTGAGATTACTACTACTACTACTACTACTACTACTGCTACTACTACTACCACTACTACTTCTACTACTACTACTACTACTACTACTACTGCTACTACTACGACTAACTACTACTACGACTACTACTACGACTAGATACTACTAATACTACTATTACTACGACTAGCTACTACGACTAGCTACTACTACTACTAATACTACTAATACTACCACTAGCTACTACTAATACTACGACTACTACTACTACTACTCCTACGACTACTACTACGACTAGCTACTACGACTATCTACTACGACTAGCTACTACGACTAGCTACTACTACTACTAATACTACTAATACTAATACTAATACTACTACTACTACTACTACGACTACTACTACGACTAGCTACTACGACTATCTACTACGTCTAGCTACTACGACTAGCTACTACGACTAGCTACTACGACTAGCTTCTACTACTACTACTACTACTACTACTACTACGACTACGACTAGCTACTACTACTACTACTACTACTACGACTAGCTACTACTACTACTACGACTACTACTACTATTACTACTACTACTTCTCCTAATAATATTACTGCAACTAGCTACTATTACTACTACTACTACTACTACTACTACTACTACTACTGCTACTAATAACAATGATAATAATATACGACCACTACTTCTACTACTCCTCATACTATACGACAACAGCTAATAATAATACTACTACTAGCAGTAATACCACTAATACTACGAGTGATATTACTACTATTACTACTGATGATAATTATTAAAATAATATTGCAACAACTACGACTTATACTACTGCTGCTGCTGTAGCTGCTTTTGCTGCTACTTCTCCTTATAATATTGAAACCTGTTATGAAAATAAAAGTTGTGGACAAATATATATAATACCAACAAATAATAGTGTTCTGAAGTAGTACAATGTACGTCAATGTATTAATTTACGTCCAACATATAAAGCGTATAGAGAATTTAACTACCTATCATGCGTTCTATAATTAATTTCCATGTCATTATAATAAGTTTATGCATTCTCATCTGAACTCTACTATGAGACTTCTTTAGAATGTGGAAGAAACAAACAAACGAACCATTATCCCAAATCTGACGAAATCCTTCTCACAATCACAGGCCTACCATTTACATGTTCCACAGGTTATTATATATACACGGAGGCAACACAGGTTGCACCGGGCAGCATAGCCCATCTGGAGTCAGGCATCGTTCCCACTGCCAGTATGTCAAGGGTCTGTGTTGATTTCTGGTTCCATATGTACGGTGCAAACATGGGAACGCTTAATATCAAGGCCAGGATCGGTGATGATCTGAAAGGGGCTTTCTGGACCAGGTCTGGTGATCAGCCTGATAAATGGTTCCATGGACAAGCTGATTACCAGTCAACTCAAGACTTCAAGGTAAGAATATATAAAATATCTAAGATTGGTGATGGTCTGAAAGGAGCCTTCTGGACCAGGTCTGGTGATCAGCCTGATAAATGGTTCTATGGACAAGCTGATTACCAGTCAACTCAAGACTTCAAGGTAAGAATCTATAGAATATCTAAGATTGGAGATGATCTGATGGGTTCTATCTGGACCAGGTCTGATGATCAGTCTGATAAATGGTTCCATGGACAAGCTGATTACCAGTCAACTCAAGACTTCAAGGTTAGAATCTAGAGAATATCTAAGATTGGAGATGATCTGATGGGTTCTATCTGGACCAGGTCTGATGATCAGTCTGATAAATGGTTCCATGGACAAGCTGATTACCAGTCAACTCAAGACTTCAAGGTTAGAATCTATAGAATATCTAAGATTGGAGATGATCTGATGGGTTCTATCTGGACCAGGTCTGATGATCAGTCTGATAAATGGTTCCATGGACAAGCTGATTACCACTCAACTCAAGACTTCAAGGTAAGAAGAATATCTAACGCCAAGCAAAATCAATTCCTTTTTTCTCATTACCTCTTTCTTTTTTACTAGGAGGGATCTCTATTACATTTTTTATTCATTTTTAAATATTTTTCCTGGGAGTGTTTCACAAAGACTAAGATCGACTTAAGTTGGACTTAAACTATGGCAGGCCGTTCATGCCACTGTTTTCTCTCACCATACTTGCATTGTTCATTGTTCAAGGGACGTACACATTGTGGTCACAAATCTACAGAATTTTACATTTTTTGATACTTCATTATTGAAAAAAATGTTATCTAAAGATCATAATGATGAGAGCAACTGGTGGCATGAATGGCATTCCATAGTTCAAGTCCAACTTTAGTCTATATTAGTCTTTGTGAAACACCTCAGTTTTCGTAATGTTATTTAGAGTTTACATGCACTCCAGAACCTCAAAACAAGGTTCATGTGTAAATTCATGATTATTGTCACCTCACCTCCTAGATGTTCTCTTATTCTGTATTATTTGATTGTAAAACTATTATATTAAAACATTTTGTGTTAGGCGTACCGGAAAATGAAGGAGGAGGGAGTGCGAATAACAAGAAATTTATTCTCGCTTCACTTTGTTTCTGCATTTCGAAACGAAAATATGTTGAAGGCTTTCTTATACTTACTTTGAACAAAGAATCTGACTGCACCAAATGTGTTATTCTTTGTATTAAACTAAGAACATGTATTTTTCGTGCTTATTTTGTTTTCTTTGTTTCCTCTTCCTCCCATTCCCGTCAACTTTGCATTCCTCTTCCTGTCGTCATTGCACTCTTGTATTATGTTTTCTCTCTGTCTTTGCCTCTCTTGTTTCCGTGCATTTTTGCAATGGCTTGCTATGTTCGTTTTTTTAATTGCTATTAATTTTACTTCTTTCTGGAAACTATACTTAATATTTATCTTTGATATAAACCGTAAATCAAAATGATAGAATAAATACAATTAAAACAAATCATTTTGCTTATTCTTAACGAATTTCGTTTATACTTCTCCCTGTAACTGTATTGCTTACTCCTACGTGGCCCCTTTTCAATTATAATTGTACATCCTTTATGGCTGATAATTCTTAGATATTCCAATCCTATGTTGTTGTTGTTTTTCCTTCAGATTGTGTTTGAAGGTGTCATTGGTAAGGACTATTACAGCGACATGGCTTTAGATGACGTCACAATATACGCTGGTGAATGCCAAGGTACGAATGATTCTTTTCTCTTTGTCTCTTAATTGTATCTTTATCGAGCTGAATCTCATGGATCTAGTTTATTCTTTCACTTTTCGATTACAATGAAAGAGCATACTCATACTGTTGCAATTGAAGACGAAAGATAGTGTATCTGACATTCTTTTCTTAACGCAAGCCCTCTTATAAAGTTCCATATGATGAAGACACTCAACGTTGCAATGTACTTTCACACTATGTACGAGTCCATTTACTTTGGAGTTAGAAGATCGCTGTGGGTACAACTTGTAGACCTGCAGATCTCAGTGATTTTTATACCCTAGGAAATTTTCAAATATCCCGATTACAACTATATGTACATCTGAATATTGAACCTGAGGCAATGGGCATTGTACATCACCTTTAGAAATGTGCGAACGTTGCAATAACATATTACGTAATCTGGGCCCTGTTTCATAAAACTTTTTATCAATAACAAGTTACAAGCTACTGTTATAAGCTACTGAATCATGGCATCTGATTGGCTGAGAGCAAATTTGTCATATAAATTTAGCAGTTGTTATAGATAAAAAGTTTTATGAAACGGGCCCCTGAACATTATTTATAAGGGGCATGCAATGGGGTTGTAGGGGTAAATTACCCTTTAATTGATCTCTCAGGAGCCTTTGTAATCATGGTGAATATACTTCCCACAATGGAGACCTTCGTGATTATAGCCAGTCAAAGATATCTAGGTTTCAATTCATTTTCATATTATTATGGGCGTTCCCAACTCAAGCTATGCTGTCGGGTTTTCGCCTCCTTCTATTATCTGAATCATTTACTGCATACTCTATGTTAAAATCATTGTTACATATATAATTTATATAAACATTGGCCCGAATTTACAAAGGAGGTTTGTCGACAAACCTAGGTTTTCGTGCGACATATGACGCGTTTCGACGTTTTTTTTACAAACCAGGTGTGTCAAAAAACGCGTCAAAACGCGTACACAAACCTAGGAAATAAATGTCAATAAATATAAATATAAATATAAATGTCAGCCAATCAAAATTTGTTCCCCAAAAAATTGAAAACCTATCTAATGTCTGAATTCCTTAGTTAAGACGTAGTGTATTTCACAATCTGATGTAATTAACGTTGTTGAATTATATTTAATTATGTTAAATTATTTTCGTTCTCTTAAGTTTAATGTACTTACCTTGTTAGGCGCCTTGAGCATCTCTTGGGGTGGATATGTGCGCATTATAAATGTTGTTATTATTATTATTATTATTAATACAAATATTATAGGAATCCATGAATGCACCTTCGAGTATGAGGACCTATGTGGGTATGTGCAGCTAACGTCTGATGACTTTGATTGGACCTGGGGCAGCGGTTCCACTGCGACCCCTTATACCGGACCTTCTAAAGACGTCTCTACTGGCACAATGGAAGGTAGGAATCCAAATCAGATAATAGCATAAGGCCTAACTAAATATTGTTGTATTGCCCTTGACATATAGTTTCCAAAACATGGGTCAGTCGGTCGGAAACTTTTTTGTTTAATACTTTTTTTTTTTCCTCTTTGGGCTGATATTTCTCATTTTTTTTGCTTCAATGCTTATTTTGTTATTCATTTAACATGTTCTTCTTATAAATACTTTTTGTTTTCTTCCTCTTTGGGCTGACATTTCTCATTTTTTTGCTTCAATATTTATTTTGTTATTCATTAAACATTTTTTCTTCTAAAAAACGGTTTAGAAAAAAAGCCGACCGTAGATTCCACAATTTTTGGGTCGATCGCTAAGAGCAATACAAAATCTTTGTCTAGGCCTTATCATAATCACAATAATTATGATAATGATAATGATACACTGTTAAAAATTTCACTGTAGAAATTACAGTAAATTACTGGCAACTTTGTTGCACAGTAAATTACTGTAACTTTGACATTACAGTAACTTCCTGTAAGTTTTTCAACAGTAACTTGCTGTAAGACATTAAAATACTGTAAGCTTACTGTAAAGAAATTTTCATGTATAAGGTTACAGTATTTATTGTAAGTTCTTCTTACAGTTAATTAATGTAATTTTATTCACAGTAATTTAAATGTATTTACAGTTATGTACTGTAAGTTTTTCTCTACAGTAAATTAATGTTATTTCTCTCATTTACATTAAGTTAATGTAATAAGTACAGCTTTTCTACTGTGACTTTAGCAGTATCATCCTGTTAATTTTGTATCTATTTCTCTCATTTACATTAAGTTAATGTTATAAGTACAGCTTTTCTACTGTGACTTTAGCAGTATCATCCTGTTAATTTTGTATCTATTTCTCTCATTTACATTAAGTCAATGTAATAAGTACAGTATTCTACTGTGACATTAGCAGTATCATCCTGTTATTTTGTTATCTATTTCTCTCATTTACATTAAGTTAATGTATTAAGTACAGTATTCTACTGTGACATTAGCAGTATCATCCTGTTATTTTTTTTAATCTATTTCTCTCATTTACATTAAGTTAATGTAATAAGTACAGTATTCTAACTTGACATTAGCAGCATCATCCTGTTAATTTGAGGAAAAAACAAGCTTTCTGAACACAAAAATCATTATTAAAGTCTTTATTGGGTAATCAACGCTCCATAAAACAAGTTTCTCAAATAGTGTAACATTATGAAAATGCTTGCAAAGAAACTATCAAGTAAAACATTAAAACAAGTAAAACCACTAAAAACTGCAAAAGTTCAAGTACTCAAGAATCTACAGACCCATAGTCATCCTTCCAGTATCTCAAAAATTCTTGAAAAAATTGTTTAGATTATACCAATTCTGAAATACACATAACTTGCTTAATCCCAACCAATATGGCTTTAAAAAAAATCATTCACCCGACCTAGCATTAATTTAATTATACGACAGAATAACACATGCAATTGTGCAGACATAGCGGCTTTAAGGCATTGATATGCTAAATCACAACGTATGGCTTAGGGGCACTGCACTTTCTTGGGTCAAAAATTATTTGTCGAACAGACAACAATATGTTCACTTTAAAATTCTGAATTGTAAAAAACTATTGTAAAGAATTATCTTCAATTGTAAACAAGACATATTTTATACACTTTTATCTTCCTTTAAAGCCACTATTAAACGACAACTACTATCAGAATACAATCAATGAAAAGTCTCCATATACCTGGCAGAATCAAGGAAAACTCTCTATACCTGGTAGAATCTCTCCAAAAGACATTACTCACTTTATTTTTGTTTAATTTATCTTTTGAACTAATACCCCATTTAATTTGAGTTGCTCTGTTATATTAAACTTGTAATCTTTAATACGTGTTTCATATTCTTCTGTATTTTTGTCTCATTTACATGCCAATTCTGCACAGAAACTTGTTTCAACTTCATGAGCTGTCATTCAATTGATTGATTGATTGATTTATTGACGGTAAAAGCCCTATTCAGCTACTCGGCTGGTTTACAAAGGGGCTGTGCAAAATAACAAAAACCGTAAAACATACTTGACAATAAGAAAATATACATGATATACAGAAATTAATGAAATAGAATTACCAATGTGCACAATGAACAAAGAAAATAGAAAATATGATCAATGTTTGATCTATTGTAGGGCTGTATATCAGCGAGGGTAGCATACACAGCTAGAATTTTATGTTTTTTTTTCCCACTGCCTAGTGGATTTACTACTTCGAAAGAATCTTGGTACAATATGAGTGTTACTGCTGAGTTTTTATGCAAAGGCTCATCTTTTGGGAATGCTCTGCCATCATAAACATCACATAGAATGGTCCTTTGTAAAGCAGGTTGAGCTTTATGAGTCTCTTTGTAATCTTTGATAAATGAGTTCTGCTTGAATAATGCTCTTAGTGTGTCTTGAATTTTAATGTATTGGCAAAATCGCTGTTTGCCAAACTGATCTTCTCCTAAATATATCTCAGTTGGGGAAACATAATCAAAAACTGCTTTAAAATGTGATTTTCTTGTAGACTCTGATCGAAATTCTTTACAATTTGAAGCACTGAACAAATCCTCAGATTTAAATAAAGTTAAAACGTTGGTAACCTCATCATCGGTAATTCCTATTCCTTAAAGTTTCTTTTTTAATTTTGGTATCAAATTTTGTTGGCTTAATGCATGAATATCCTGAACTGTGTCAATTATTTCCTGAATTGTAGAGTTGGGCAGTAGTAATTTTGCCTCCAACTTCAGATAAAACAAGGATAAGCTGTGTTTGAATGAGTCAGCGGATACATCTACTTCATCATCTGTCACACTTTCCTCGTCACTTGAGTGCAGTCTTCCAGGAAACTCCTGATTATTTTCTTGGGCGGATTCAGTTAACACAGTACCAGTTTCACTTGAAGTTGAGTCTAACTGAATCTGGTCTAACTTATTGTGAACTCTTGATATATGTGACGCAAAAGACGACCTCACTGAAAAACGTTTTTTGCAATTGGCAAAAGGACAGCGTATTTCAACTCCGTGTTTGATATGAACTCTAAGATGAGAAAGTATGTCATGGATTTCCTCACATTTTACAGCACAGAGTGGACAATTCCAGGTAGAAACGCAGAAAAACTGGGCATCTTTTTTTCTTGAAAATGGTTGATGATCCCTATGCACATGGGTTTTGAAGGATGAATAATTTCTGAATGTTCGATTGCAGCCAGGAACACCACACGGGAAATCGAAATTCACCACATTTCTATGGACTGAAAAGTGTTCAGAAAACCGCTTCAATGATCCAGAAGAATGATTACATAGCTTACAAACGTACATGGGTATATGATGTCCATGTAGAGCATCCGTCTGATTAGTGTTTCAGCATGCACACTGTGTGACTTCAGCAGTAATCCATGGCATACTGCAAGAAAGAAGAGCGGAAAACAATACCTTTAATATGCATACGTACACATAACTTTTTATGTACAGCATTGACAGATTAAAAGTTATTTAAATGATAAATGAATAATAAAAAAAAAGATAAAGGACAAAAAATACAAAAGAAAATCGAAAGAAAAACATAAATTCATCAAATATAACCAGTTGTCACGAGCCTCCTGATGATGACTGTATGCGAAACCTTCAGCAAAAAAACATTTGATTTCACGGCTATGAATGTTACTACATAAGTGAAATTAACATTCATTTGCGGTAAATGAAACTACAATAGATTTCTGTAAAACAAATTTACAATCCTTAAAGACAAAAATTACTGTAATTTACTGTTAGTATTTGAAGAACCTACGGTAACAGCAATTTACTCTAAGAAATGCAGTGATTTACTGTAGGAAAGTTTACAGGCAGATACTTTGAGTAAAAATTGATGGTAACTTACTGTAGATATAACCTACAGTTACTGTAAATTAAAATTACAGTGAATTACAGTAGACAAGTACTCAAAATTAATATGAAATAAAATTACTGTAATTTACTGTAAACTAGCAGTAAGTTACTGTAAATTACAGTAATTTTACAGTAATTACTCAGTAATTTTACAGTAACTTACTGCCAGTTACGGAATGGCCTATTTGGTTGCTATGACAACGCTGCGACCTTCAAAAAAGTAAATTACAGTAATTTTACAGTAAATTACAGTAATTTTAAAGTAACTTACTGTAAATTACTAAGTAACAGTAAAATACTAAGTAATTTTACAGTAACTTACTGTAATTTTATTTCATATTTTAACTTTTAAGTAAAATTACACTATGCAGCAGGATTGCCAGTACTTTGCTGTAATTTCTTCAGTAACGTGCTGTAGACTACACTAGATGTCTAGATCTACATGAGCTTAGACTTGTGCGTATTCAACTGATCACGCAGTGTGCTCATGATGGACTGATGCTGTAGTCGATCGTAGTGTGTGCGGTGTCCTATAAGTTATAAGTCTTGATGGTCTTGACGTTAGACATTTCCAATTTAACGTGAGCATGCATATCCATGTGCAATGGCATCGCATTGACAGTGACACTGTACGCTGGTACTGCAGTACAGTGTCATGTGCTGCACTAACACTACCGACTCTGTCCCACACACCACAGCACAGCACGTACAGTACACATATACCGTAGACGGAACAATTACAAACACAATCCCTATACTTTCCACAGTCTGACAATTCTTCACTTCAGCGGGATACAAATCAAATCATGACTCTGATAATTGGCAATCTGTAACTTACCTCGGATCCCCTTGGAATTGACTTATTGGTCATCAATATCCCAGCTCGAGGATCAGGACCAGGAACAGAACAGATTCAGATTCGTTGCTCAGGATCAGGCCGGCCAGCTCAGCTATATATTTCAGCTCAAATCTTTGCAGAAAATTAAAAATGGCGGCGCGGCGTGGCGGGCTAGCGCGGGAGCCAATCACGTGCAACGCATACGCGCATATATGCAGCCGATCCGCCTAATGCGCATGTGCGCTGTATCCCACAATGCTTTTTGCACGCTCCTTTACACTAGCTTACTGTAGATATTTGTTCCCATGCTCTACGACACTGATGTTTACAGCAATATACTGTACAGCAACGTACTTATACAGTTAATTATCGTAAAATCGTTATTACAACATATTACTGTTGTAAATCACAGTATTTTACTGCATGAGTTACAGCAAATTTTTACAGTGTACTAATATGTCTTATATTGCCACTACTATTACTCCAACCACCTGTTTCGATGATAATAATGCTTACAATAATAGTTTGATAACAATGATACAAATAATAAAATAATCATAATCTAAACTACTAATAATCATGATATTTGTTATAAAACGAATGGTGATGTCGATAGTGACCATAATATATAATAATAATCATTTATTTTAATGATAACAAGAAGAAGAAGAGATAGAAAAAAAGAAGAACAAGGAGAAGAAGACTGGGAAAAAGAAGACTAAGAAGAAGAAGAAGAAGAAAGTATTTGATTGGCCATGTGGAGAGCTTCAGCTGGTCGGTCCTGCTTATTGTACTTTTATAGAATCTATAATTGTACATGATTTTACCTTAAGACATCATTGCAATAATCGCCTCCTTCTTCTAACACGTCATGTAGCATGTCTTAACATAAAAGTTTCAAATATTGCATGTTTATTTGTATTATATGTTACAATATAAAAATTTGAAATATATGGTGGTAATACATTATGATTGTTATAATATATCTTTGTATATGAGAATATATGAATAACATGATACAAACAAGAAATAACTACGGTAAACCCCAGACATTCGACGGTAATATGTATATTTATGATAATATTTATTTGTTAGAGAATCCAAATATGAAAATAAGATTGTAGATTTAAAGCCACACTGTCCCACTTGTAGCTACTTGCTCCCTCTATATAGAAAACAATGCCTAATCGGTGACCATTGGTCCCCCATGATCCTCTGTTTCTCATGTTAATTGAGAGCTGAGTTGATGAAATAGCCACCTATCCAATGACCTTACTGAATGGTCTTATCCCTCCTATAAACTAGTACAGATAAGCTTTAAGATAAAAATATGGGTACTATTTATAATATAAAACCGAATATACATGGTAAAATATAGAAATATTTATGATAGCTATATATCATACATCTTTGTAATAGAGACCGAATATGATTCTTAAACCTTAGATATGTGTTTATTGTATATATATTTGTTCTAATATATATTTGTAATATATCTTCGTGATTGTTGTATATATATTTGTTCTAATATATATTTGTAATATATCTTCGTGATTGTTGTATATATATATATTTGTTGTAATATATCTTTGTAATAGGTCACTATTTGTACATCGATGCCAGCGAACAGTCTACAGGAGACGTAACCAGAATGAGAACACCAGATCTAGACCCCTCTGATGCTAAAACAGATCTGTGCTGGAGCTTCTACTATCATATGTTCGGAGATGATATTGGTCAGCTCAATGTCTTTGTAAGTATATTGGTCGGCCTTTAGGGCCTACAGATAACGCACGATAGCAAGTGCATTCAGGGCTAAATAATGCGCGATGTGCGAGAAGAGCCCCTTGATATACCGCTTCGAGGTCCGCAGGACCAAGTGCGGTATCCAGGTGGCAAGTCGAGCACAGAGTGCATTACTTCGGCCCACAAATGCACAAGCAAACGTGCAATGCTTGTTTTAACTTCCCGTTTTTACTGAGCTGCCCCTCAAAATCCAATAAATAAATAATTTCATTTCATTCTTACCTTTACGCTCACGCTTCGGTCTTTACCGTTGACTAGAAAGTGATGCAAAGTCTATCCAATTTCAGTCATTTAAAATCTGAGATGCAACACCAACAGTAATAACAAATTGTATTGTCATGCTGGACTCGCTACCATACCTAGATATACCGCAAAACTTAGGACTTTACGTTTAGCGCTTAGTACGCGCACGGCATTCCTGAGTTTGATTGGTTATCCGAGCATCATTGCGCGTACACTTTGAATTTTTGACACGCCCTGTCATTGCATGCGACTTACTGCAGGAAATGTGCTATACCAAAAGCGCTTTACCTGCACTCCGACGAGTGCAGGTATAGTACATTTGCATGCTACAATACAGTCCACTGAATGTCACGTGACCCGATTTGAACCAATCACATTACAGAACATTCCTGGAAGTTGTATAAGTAAGTATATTGTTCGGCTCGATGTCTTTGTAAGTAGGCCTACCTAATGGAACTTCCCAGTATCATAAACAAGTTAGTTTTTCCCTTTCCTTAGTTCAGTTTATACTAATGTCAGGGTAATAAGTTCGGTTTTGCCTTTACTTTAATAGTTAAGTTTCTAATGATATCAGAGTTATAGGGTTACATGGTTAAGGCCAGGAGACATGCTTTGTGATAGCCTATAATCTAGGCGGAGTGCCGAGCTTTTTTCTTTGCTGCTAGACTAACCCTAAGCAGAACGTCTGATACGGCGAGACTACGAACCGTGAGTCGCGAAGCGGCTCACCGCCTATAATCACTGGTCTAGCTAATCAATATTCATATATATTCAAAATGGCGGATCTATGAATCATTCAACAGCCCTACCAAATAAGGTACACCTATGTTACGTTCGACCAATCAGATGTAAGAAACCGCAACGAAAAAAGATTGCGCGGTCGCGTAGAAAATCACAGCACAAAAGGGGATTGCTTGGTATATTGCACTCTTTCCAAAACCAGTAGGTAATGCAACAAAAATATCCCTGCCGGCTTCAATAACGCTACGAATAGCTTCCTGCAGTTCTCTGAATTTTCTATTAGGAATGCCTAGTTTGTTGGCCGCATATGATAAACTTTCTCGCAGAAGATCGTCGTCGCATGAACTACCCGCCATCTTGGATGAAGAAAATGACGTAATGTCACGTGATTTATAATATGCATATGCATAGACTCTTCTCCATACGTGTTTCTGATTGGTTGAGTTCATTTCGTATTCATGAGGTTTTTTCGTACGAAAAACTGCCACGGATTCATGGTCGATAATAAAAAAAACAACGACTAAAGCTAGACCAGTGATTATAGACGGTTCGTAGTCTCGCCGTATCAGACGTTCTGCTTAAGGTTAGTCTAGCAGCAAAGAAAAAAGCTCGGCACTCCGCCTAGATTATAGGCTAGCTTTGTGATGGATAAAGCCTCATCGATGCTGAGGCTGAGATGGAAAAGGTCACGTGATCCCTCATCGTTTTGGTATAACAATAAAGTTATAAATCTGTAAGTCTCCAAGATTTTTCATCATACCGGGGTTCATTGAGACTATGAGCTGTAGAGGAGGTGTATGTTTGTGTATGTAGGGGTGCATTTTGAATAGGCAGTTTCCCGAAACAGGTGTTTTTTAATCACCTGTTTATACGTATAATTATGCAGGTATATACAGCTGATCAGTTATATCATGAGTAAACATTTTCAACCACATTTTGTCCCTCCCAGGTCGATGGAGATGACACCCCTATCTGGTCACTCGGTGGAAGCAACCTAGGTGATGCCTGGTTCTACGGAGTGTTCAACGTCACTAGCTTCGTGACCTATACTTTGACCTTTGAGGGGGTCGTAGGTCAAGGGTCAGCCGGTGATATTGCCATCGATGACATTGACTTCAAGAAGGGCTCCTGCGATCCAAGAGGTAGTTTGTATACGCCCCTTTAACTGCTTTTAACCATTCTCAAAATTGTTCTAGAAATCCTCCCACCATTTATTGTATAAGTCTTATTTGTTATCATTGCTAGTTACGTGCATGTCTGATATCGTATTGGACATTGAAGATGAGAAATCCTCTGAAAAGCAAATTTAGCAGATAAAACTGACAAACAAACGAATATTGAAGTATTTTGCCTACTCTAAGAGTCTTACATTGAAATTACAAGAAGGGGCGCACTGGCTGGTTGTGCCCTCCCATTAAATCTGCCAGCTAAGATTTAAACTAATACACTGTAACATGGTGCTTGGTTTATGTTGAATCAGTGACAGTCGGATGCATTCCACAAAGTTGGAGAAATGGACACACATTGACAAGAGAGTTATCGACAGGAGAAATAAGAGAACGTACCAAAACACATTATATAGAAGCAGCGTTCTCCAAGAACTTAAGTAGGGAATGTGCAGTAAGGTTCATTCATATTATGCACGCATTTTCTTTACACAATACACACTTATATTTATGAATGGAAATGATATATTATGAATATGGAATCACATCTATATCTATATGTTTCGGCCTATAATCGGTCCCTTAATTTCCAACAAAACTACTCTCGAAAAATCCACCTGCCGCAATTCAATAGCCTTAATTGATTATGCGTCACATATTGAAACGAGAGAAAATAAAAATGTCGTATAACATTATCCTATATGATATCTATCATTGTCTGAGGGACGTACAATAGGGTATTAACTTGCCTTTGAGTTGAATTTTTTCTTAACAAGTTGCTATTTATTTGTTAAACAGGGACGTGTGATTTTGAAGATGGGATGTGCGCTTGGCAGAATATCCCAGGAGACGACTTTGACTGGCAAAGGAAACAGGGATCTACTTCAGACTCTGGAACCGGTCCCAATGTGGATCATACCAAAAATACTGTTGAAGGTAAGTAAAGAACATATAGAGTCACATACTTTCAACCCATTACCTAATTTTAAAGCCCCTCAAGAACTTTTGGGAGCCCCCCAGAATAAGAGTTTCACTAGTCGATAGCTTAAAGTCCCACTGCACTAATTATAGCTACTTGCTTCCTCTATTTAGCAAACAATGCCTAATCGGTGCCTGTTGGTCCCCCATGATCCTCTCTAGGAGGTCTAATCCCTCCTGGCCAAACTAGTACAGACGGGCTTTAACGCTAATATTGAGTTCTGGTATGGGAGTTATATGTCAAGAGATCATGGCTACAATGTCTGGATTGTTATCCTGCAGTAGATTGATTGTTTGAACCAGTAAAATAACAAATACATCACAATAAACTTTGCTGGAAATCATCTTCAATAAAAAACCACAACTGTCATTTGCACATAGGGGCACATGGTGTCGGGCCTATTTACCTAGATTCCTTATCTTTCTATGCTCTTTATTCACTCCCTATACATTTTCTACTAAAATCTCTTTGCACATAACATTTATTTGTAATCTTGAACATTCCTTGTTTGGATTATGTGAGAATTTATTGTATGTCTTTACCAGAACTCAAGCATATCGTTAACCCATCGGCTACTGTTATAGGGTGGTATTCTGTATTTAGCGTATAGGGAATGTGAGAAATCAGAAGTCACCTGGTTAATTGTTTTATACAGGCAATTATGTTCGTCGGTTAAGTCGCGGGATCAAATGCAATGCAAATCGATCGCCGAGACATTATACTCATTTTCCACAATTTGTTTGCTATGAAGGAATTCACTGAATGTTTCAAAGCCTTAAAAACTGGTTCGAGGCACATTAAGAATTGGTATAACGACAAATGTTACACAGAAATGTTAACTTTGATGACTTAAAAGGTACTTTCCTCAATTTATATTCATAGGTAATACATTTATGCTCGATTTAATTAAAAAAAACGATATAGCTGTACAGAAAATATAAAAGTAAAATGACTTCATTTTTAAACTAACATTCATGAATCGTGACTAACATGATGTTTCTGACCAGGGACACGTTTTACAAATCCTTGTTTTAATGACAAATGACAAAAACCAGTGACAAATCTGCTGATAACCAATCAGAAGCAAGGATTATAGTAGCTTATAACAATGACTGTCATTCGTCACTGATGACATGTTTTGTGAAACACCTCCAGGTTTCTACGTCTACACGGAGTCCAGCTCACCCCAGGGACCAGGCGACGAGGCCCTTCTCTACCTCGGTATCCCGGATGTGACTGGTATACAATGCCTTCGATTCTGGTTCCATATGCTAGGCAGTGGTATGGGTGAACTCCTGGTGTACACGTCTAACTCCTCCATACTGGTTCCAACCGGTCGGGATATGTGGCGACTGGTCGGTAGCCAATCGGAGGATCAGTATACCTGGCTTCATGGACAGGTCGCTGTCGACTTTGATTTTGCAAGTCAAGTAAGTCAGTTTAATCGATACCCATGATGGTGATATTTAGGATGGCGTACGTACATAAATATATAGATAGATAGAAGGGTTTTCAGTTATTACAATAATTTTATTTTCGTAGTGGAATAGAAGAGGATAAAACCTCATGTACATACCTGGACAATCATGTCATTTCAGCAATATATTTTGTAAATCACTGGTATATCGAACTAGAAATATACCACGTTTTAATTGTATTGGGGGTGGGGGGGGGGGGGGGACTGCCCCTTTCCCCCTTCCCGATACCCCTCCCCTATTAGTACGCCAGTGAGTAATACCTACTAAAACCATAATCGCCATCACCATCAATTATCACCCTCATACAAATAACGATAATAATAGGTAATTTGATAGTGATAACAATTCATGAATTTAAAAGTAGTCAAAGTTTGAGAGATGTTTGCTCCGTTTGTTTGCCTTTATGGTAATGGTTTGATTGAAGAAAAAAATTGCAGCCAGATGACTAAATTGCAGAATTGTGTACCTAGCGTATAATCACATAAATAATTATACAAACATAAATAAACTATAGTAAAATTATCTTAAATTCGTATTAAGACATATCACACAGTGAATGAATATTCTAAATAAATCAGTTTACATCTTTATATAAATCAATACAATTTGCTAAACAGGTAACAGTTGCCTAAATCTATTCCACACTCATATATTTAATATATGAAAAGATCTTTCGAAATAAGAGACGTATTGTAAGAGTATTGTCATCTATGTTTTGAACGTTCTGGTGTATCTTCATCTCATATTATCCTAATCTTTGCCTTTGGCTTTGTTTGGTATTTCAGATTTATTTTGTTGGTGTTGTTGGGTCTAGCAAATCAGATATGGCTTTAGATGATATCTCTATTGATGGAGGCATGTGTGACAGTGAGTATTTCCACACCGAGTAGGTCTAAATTAATAATGATAACAACAATTATTATAATAAAAACACTAATGATAACAATAATAATAATAATAATAATAATAATAATAATACTACTAATAATAAAACATATTAATAATAATGAATAATAACACAAACAATAATATTAATAATAATGATAACAATATTAATAATATTCTATTCTTCTATTCGTCATATATTTTGTTTTCTTGTTCTTAGTACAACCTCCTGAAGCAGACCCATCGACAGGCATACAACCCATGTCATGTGACTTCGATGATAACAATCTATGCAGCTGGACTCAAGACCGTGAAGATGATTTTAACTGGATCTTAAACAGTGAAGATACAGACACATCTCAGACAGGACCAGAGAGGGACCAATCAGGAACAGGTTAATATACCCCTCCTCCAAAATAATATACAAATAATACACAACAGTGAGGGCATTACTAAGAATTTCCCACACGAGGTACCTTTGGAACAGTCTAACACACCCGAAGCGGTAGCCGAGGGTGTTTTGAAGGTAGCGAGTGTGGGTTATTTTACGAATGCCTAAACAAAATGAGGCGTATTATTTGTTTTATAAGATTATGTTTTATTTGTTTTATAAAATTGTGTTTTATGAAATGATTTTGATAATGACCGGTCAATATTCAAATTATGCGTTAGGTAAAACAAATACCTGGTCACGTGTACGCTTTCAACCAATCATGATTAGGATCACATAGCTAGGCTGTCGGGTTCAGTGCAAAAAGCTAGTATTCAACTCATACCGATACCTACTTGGTATGGAGTGTTCGGATCAATGACTAGCTAGGCTAGATGCTAGATGCGAGGGTCGAGGGTTCGAATCCCGACACTGCACTAATATCCTTTAGCAAGATATTAAACTTCACTTGCTACTCTCCTCTCAGGTGTTAAATGGGTACCCGGTAGGATGCGACCGTCGTTATTGGTCAAACAGTTTTGTGTGCGTTAAGTAACACCTGGCGTGGATGCTCCCTAGGGAGTGGAGATTTTGCACACAGTGTGTGCGGGCAAGCACTGAATCTAATGTCCGGGGTAATGGTATATCTGTAAAGCGCTTAGAGACATTGTATCAGGCGCTATATAAGCGGAATTTGATTATTAGGCTATTGTATTGGCTGTTTAAATCACTCCACTACGACACATCTTCTCAATAAATTAAATGATTTCAAATTCTCACTTTAACCCTAACATTCTCCTTTAGGGTATTACATCTATGTCGATGCTTCACAGCAAACTGAAGGTGACGTCACAAGGCTCCTATCACCGGCACGTGACACTACGGGTGAATCGGTGCTGTGTCTTCAGTTTTATTTCCATATGTATGGTAATGGCATGGGGACACTGAATGTAAGATCGGTGGGCGCAGGCGGCACGGGCGAGACCATTTTCACCAAAGGGGGGAGTGACATGGGCGATATGTGGAACGAGGCCTTTGTGAATGTTATACCGAACGATGTCGAGTTTCATGTAAGTAATTCACCCCTTTATTAGTATTATTTGTTTAATGGATATTCCGATTACAAAATTAATTGATTTTTTTTAGTTCGCAGTGCTAGACATAATAAAATGAGATGGATTTGTTTATAGCTTATATCAGGGAATGTTAATCGTAGAAAAGGAGGAAATAATTATTGTGATATATTTCCTAAATTGAGCAACAAAGCGCAATTCTATTTCATTTATTCCCAAATCATTTATTGTTAGTCTGGTGAAATATGAAGAATAATATTTTGATGTATTAATGAACCATTCAAATAAAATTGCTATACACAAGTGGTTTGATGATGAAATCGATGATTAAAAGCAGGAAAGAGGCTTATTCTAGGAAGTTTAATATTGCTCTTTTCTACGACTGAAAGTATTATGTTTGATCATCTATTTATGATTGCAGTTAGTGTTTGAAGGCGTTCGAGGATCGACTAGTGCCGGTGATTTAGCTGTTGATGGCATTACTGTTAGTGATGGGTTCTGTCCACCTACAAGTTAGTATCACGATTGTAATTACCATGACATTTGATTGATTGCTAATTATTATAGAATAGCTCGGAGTTTGAAACGATGATGTACTTTACCTGTCCAGAATCCTGGAATATAAAGCAAAAATAAAACAAGTAGACGTGTTATCAGTTAAGATTAGCCTTGTAATTAACATTAGATACCATGTTATCCAAAGTAATCTGCTACTACTACTACGACGACGACGACGACTACTACTACTACTACTACTACTACTACTACCACTACCACTACTACTACTACTACTACTACTACTACTATTACTACTACCACCACTACTACTACTACTACTACTACTACCACTAACACTAATACTACTACTACTGCTACTACTACTACTACTACTACTTCTACTTCTACGACTACTATTACTACTACTACGACTACTAACAATGTATAATAACGAAGTAGTGAAAAAAAGATTAAAATGTCTGAAGTCCATTTATAGAACTTTAATTACCTGCATAAAGAAACCTGCAGGAAGACAAAAAGCAATATTGACAAGCACATGATTATGTATTATGATGCTATTGAATTACTGTTAAAGGGAAACAAATGATATGGTCTTCATAGGTATGGTTATGCAGCTGATCATCTAAGCAGGTTTGGTATATTCCAATTAAAATGAAAACAGATGGTTGTCTATGATTCTATCTCTGTCTTTTCTTTTGTATATTTTCTAGGAACATGTGATTTTGAGCTTGGATTGTGTGGATGGCGGCAGGAGCCCTCTACGGATGATTTTGATTGGTCTAGAGATGCCGGAAGTGACGTACCTCATGGAAACGATCCTTTCATTGATCATACTACAGGCTCAGACACAGGTCAGTCAGTGCCCTGAATCATCAAACTTATTATCAATAACAAGTTAGAGCAACTGTTATAAGCTACTGAAACGGTGACATTTGATTGGCTAAGAGCAGATTTGTCATAGAAATTTATCATTCGTTATTGATAACAAGTTTTATGAAATAGGGCCCGGATCTAACATACTTTAAACAAAAATTCCAGCCAGGGTCCAGAAAAAGAAAAAGTTAACATGTTAATGCTATTTGTAATTGAAAGCTGTGTACAATTATTTTAATCTTGAGATCAGTTGCCCATTATTTAATTAAACTATGTGTGTGTTTTTAGGCCCATCCCCTCGAAAAAAGCAGATGGATTGGACAACATTTCCCTCATTAAAAGTAAAAAAAAGTCTGTCTACAAACTAACAATTACTGGCCATTCGAGAAAGTTTAATAATAACGAATTTTGAGCTGAGGTTTTGGGGAGTCTCATTATAACAGGAGCACACTGTAATATTTTGTTGTATCAGGTCATTTCATCTATGCGGACCAGTCTCTTGGTACGGCAGGAGACAGAGCCCTTCTCTACAGCGGACCCTTCGATGCCACACCTGTAGGCGACTGTATGACGTTCTGGTATCATGTAGCCAGTGCAGATAGGTCAGTGGGTAGCATACGGGTATGGGAGCTGATCGAAGGCAAGCTTGTTGGGCCATACTGGATGTCAGGGTCTGGTGTTCAGACTAACTTCTGGATGCAGGCGAAGACCAATGTCAAGGCCACCTCTGCTTTTGAGGTAAATACATTGTATTTTTATTATTATTATCATGATTATGATGATGATTGTTATTACTTTTTTAAATCCTTATTATGATTATCATTATTATAATAATTGTTATCATTCTTAATGTTATCATAATAGTTCTTGTTTTTTGTATTATCTGTTTAACCTACCGAAATGAACATAATATTGATGCATCTACATACATGTAAAGTGACCAAGGGGAGAGAGAGAGTGAGAGAGAGAGAGAGAGAGAGAGAGAGAGAACTCAGAACACTTTTTACAACCGTTTTCATTTCATTTTTTTTTCATAATAAAAAGTGTAATAAAATGTATTATCATCATAGAATATAATGATCATAATATACATTTGTTAGGGGCAGACAACATGCAAATATATTCTACTGCGCTATAAGATGTCCTGGTAAATGAAAAGATGTGAGTTTAGTTGTGATTTAAAAGTACTTAACAATGGTGTTTTCATAATTTATAATAAAAAGTTATTTCACTGTTCTAGACCTGCGCATGTAAATGCTCTATCTTCCAATGTTATTGTTTTGTTTTGTTGTGATGGAGTGTGCAATGATAGGGTATCTTGGAAGCTGCGCAGGTTATGAGCATGTTTGTGAGACTTGAGTTTCAACAGTTCTACAATATAAATAAGGGCTTGACTGATAAGTGCTTTATTGACAATCAACATAATCTTAAATAATATGCTTTGGCTTACTGGTAGTCAGTGCAGATCTCTTAAAAATAGTATTGATCCGTTAGAATTAGGAACAACTGCAAATCGGTCTTGGACATGCATATAAACCATAGACCAACTGTAAATTCTGAACAAGAAGAAGTTTGCCTCTTTTTATTTTGCAACAGGTTGTTTTAGAAGCCCAATTGAGTGACAGCACCGACCAATGGCTGGCCGTTGATGACGTCATAATTGATAGCGAGCCTTGTCCGCATCCGGGTACGTAACCTTTTAAAGGCAGTAGCCTAATCTCTCTGCAGATTTGTGCAAACTCCATGAAACTTGGCGAGTGTTAAAGAAATATCTTTGAGATTTCGTGTGTGCTGAGGAAGAGGAAGGTTTTTTCCAAATCAACATACGTAACAGACAAATTAATTTGAATTACGTTTGAATAATTTTTCGAGTCTACAAAAAAAAAATCTGAAATAAAACATCCAAAATATATTCGTTGAAAGCCAGCTTCCATTTTTTACATTGTTTAGTGGGAGATTCCTTATAAAATACCTCTTCAACATACCACTGACTTCATGGAGCTTCATGTTTTTAGGTCTGCAAAGGGGACAAACCATCTTTAAGTCTGTACTCGCTGTGGTCGACTTATATAACAAACAGTACTTTGCCATGGTTGAGTTTCTTCGCAGGTATAACGTGTATGGATTATTCATAGCAAACCACTTGATCAGTTATCATTTACAGAAAATTATTTTCATTTTTTTGTATTACTTGCCCCCCCCCCCCCCCCCCCCACTCCGGGGTCGGAATGACCGCATGCGTGTTCACAAAATGTCCGGTAAAAAAGTACTTTTCACGCACCATTTTTTCAACAATGTAATACCGAGTCACTTTAACAACATAGACATTTGTACAAATAGATCGCATACGAAGATAAATCACAATAATTGTAGCATATAATGGCCTACTACAATGGATTTCCTAAGCGTGTGTTTAAACCAAAAATGTATAGTTGTACAGATACGATACATAGTCCATTATGTTTCATTTTATATAGCATATATGGCCCACTACAATGGATTTACTTAAGCAGGGGGTAAAGAAATACAAGGTTTAGTTGTACAGATACGATACATAGTTCATTATGTTTTATTCTATGAATAGGTTTTTGCGATTTTGAGGACAATGACTACTGTTACTGGTCCAATACGAAGAAAGGAGATGAGAGAGATTGGGAGCTGAATCGTGGATCTACAGGAAGTGACGACACAGGACCAAGCAAAGATCATACTACAGGCACTAATCAAGGTATTAACTAAGGAGGGCGACATTTTAATTGATGTTGGCCGTATTTTTTTTAATTGACTGACATTCACATTTATTTATTTCTGACAATGCAAAATGTTAATAATAATAATGAAATATAATGATACGGAATGTGTATAGCACTTAATACCCTCTCTACGCGCTTTACAGATATTGTTATTATTGTTTTTACTATTATTATTTTATTTATATAATTATTGTTATTCTTAGCATTGTCATTGGGGTAAGGGAAAGCGTTCATGTGCGTCACTCTGTGAAGCGCCTTGCGCTCAACATTACATCGCTGGTCATAATACAGCCGTGCGGCCATTTATATTAATGCTCTTAGTATATACACCTGGGTAGAGAGTGGCAAACGTGTACTACTGTATTGCGTAAGTGCAAGGTGGGGACTCGTACCTTCAACCCCTGGATTAAAATATTTATATCAAGGGCGACAATAGGGCAATAAATGGTATGGACAGAAAGTTGGATGAGATTTAAACTGATGACGGCCATTTTGTCAATGATATTTTGAGAATGAGTTATTTTCAAGAGAGACTAAAAACCCGGACTAAATGCTGACATGTTTTTATGAAAAGAATCTGATCATATGTAAGTTGGCCTAATTCAAAGCATTATTATGTTTGGTTTCCATAGTAACTGAGATTTTTGCTTGTTTTCTTGTTTATTTATGCAGGACACTACGTTTATATTGATGCTACCGATTTCAGACAAGGTGACACTGCCTGGCTTGAGAGTGAGACACTCCCTTCAGCAGATACTTGCTTCAAGTATTGGTACCACATGTTTGGCAAAGGTATGACGTCATAATAGGAACTGAAGTTGGCATTGCAGGAGTTGCGTATAATATGTACTTACATATATATATCCAGTGTTGTCTCATCAGTCTGAGGGAGCTGTGCTTATTATTACACCGGCATAATTCACTAACCCTTACCACAATAACAATGATAATACTAATAATGATGTTATTACAATTGTTAAACTAGGCGTTATGGCGTGCGCCTTTAATGAGGACACAGGTTCGAAACTGAGTCACGTCTTTCGGATGGTGACGTTTAAAGGTCGGTCCCCATACGTAACTAATTATATCTGATTGATACACGTCTGTAAAACCCCAAATACACACACACACACACACACACACACTCATCAGTCTGAGGGCACAATGATAATTATTACCCCCATCATGATGAGGGCGGGATTAAGAACAAATTGTCAGCTGCTCGATCGCAAGAAGGTCGATACTGCCACATACACATATCTTAAGGCCATCTTTTAGGCAGCCGGTGGAATGTTTGTAGAACACCTTGTTCAAGGATGATAGCTCAGAGGAAGGGTCGAACCTGATGAGATTCAAGGTTGTTAACCAGTGCTCTCACCAGGTTCCCGTTTCACAAAGCCTTTTTTCAATAACAAATGCCAAATATCAGTGACAAATCTGCTGATAACCAATCAGAAACAAGCATTTCAGTAGCTTATAACAATAACTGTGATTTGTCACTGATGACAAGTTTTGTGAAACACCCCCCCCCCCCAAAAAAAAAAAAAAAAAAAAAAAATCTCTCACGTAGGACCTGGGGAATTCATGCAGGTTCAACGACAATCAGCAACGATTCGAAATCATATGGAACATTATTTAGAGATAATAATAATGGTACACAATATTTATTAGGCGCTTAATATTGGTGTCTCTAAGCGCACCATAGTCTGACTAAAAAAATATTCACCAAAACTTATAATAAACACACAACTTATACATCAGCTCTTTATTCAATAAATCATGCATATATAATAATAAAAATAAGAGTGAGATCAACATACATGAGGTCAGAGAACATTACTCACCCTGAGCCGGGGGAAGATTAATTGTGTCAAAGAAGTTCCCTCGAGGATGGATGGTTTATCCCTCAATGTTCCCGAAGGCAGAGAGTACCCTCAATGTTGCCGAAGGGCTTGGTACTTTGTGCTGTGTTTGATATGGATTCTCTCTATCAGTATCTGTTTTTAGAAGGAAATACAAAGCATTTTGATTATCTAAATATTAGATTCAGTATTAGGCCCTTGTGTTAGTTTGTTTATTAGGTTAGTTACTTATCTTATTTTATGTTCCTTTTTGTATGTGTTTTTATGTTATATTGTATATCTAGTTACTTAAAGGGTTGGCCTCTTACAAGGTTTGTTTCCTTTTTGGCCACTGCCTTCCTCACTTTTATATTTCATCTCACGTATTGTCATACATTTGTCTGTTTATATATGTATTTTTATCTGTTGATCTCTTGACGAGAAATAACTTAAACTGAAACTGAAAACTGGGAGGGGGGAAGGATGTTTCACAAAGATTCTAAGTCGAACTTTACTCTAAGTTGGACTTAAATATTATGGATAGCCATTTGTAGCCTTATAATGAAATACATTCAAAAGCAAAATTCAAGTATTTTAGACTTTTCATTAATTCCACATCAAGAACATGAATTCTCCCAAGATACTAGAAAATATGAATGAATTGAATCAACATTTTATGCCTTTAAAAATAATTTTTACAAAACATTTTCAAAGACGCTATCGGCTTTCCATAATTTTTAAGTCCAACTTAGAGATAAGTTCAACTAAGGATCTTTGTGAAACACCCCCCTGAACTGATTAATATCATCAATTTAGGTACGGGTTCCCTCAACGTCTACACTAGAGACCAAGTCAACCAAGAGATGGCGTTAGAATGGTCAGAGAGCGCTGACCATGGAGATCGTTGGTTGGAGGGTCAGATCTCTCTGTCCAGCCAGAACTCCTTCAATATCATCATGGAGGCAACATTCGGAGGCAGTTTTGCGGGAGATGTGGCCTTAGATGATACCTTTATAACACAGACAGGGCTGTGCAATGGTGAGCTTATAATCGACATGGTTTGCAGCCAAACGCCGCAAATGGAACAAAAGCACAGCACAAAGTACAAATATACTCTATTTATAAAGAGGCCGGTACTCAACTAGAAGAAAATGCGTATTATGTTATGTGTATTTTGCTGGACATTTATCCACGTTTACATATCTGTATACAGTCTATGTAATTTTCTTGAATGCTTCGAATGATAACCAGGACAGGGTGCAGCCAGGGTAATTATCCAAAGACATTTTTTTAGAGAGAAAACGGAGTTAGATATGAGAGTAAAATTAGAATATGGAAGACGTCGTCTCGACAAAACGTCGTTACGCAATGGTGTCATTAAATCTGCAGATATGAGTTGCGCTTTTCAGAGAATGTGATTGTAAGCAATTTTTTCTGGTTAAGATTTTGCGTCTATAAACAAAACTATCCACTTTACCTTAAAATAGCAATACGGTATGCGAGCATCTAATTCGAGGTCAGTACCATAGTCTTTTTTTAACGGACAAGATTCTTGGGTTGGAATTAGCTGCCAGTCAACAGCATAATGTTTATTTTTATTTTTATTTGTCTTTTGCTAATATTCAGCCTCAACAAGATAATTTGGTTAATCATTAAAACAATTCTGCAATTGGGAATGTCGATCTCCTTTTTGAGCTGACAAATAAATTGGCTCGCTGATTTCTGTTACTCATCATAAATAAGAAGAACAAGAAGGAGAAGACAAATATAACGAAGAAAAAGAAGAGGGAGAAGAGAGAGTAGTAGAAGTAGTAATAGTAGTAGTAATTACAATTTATACTGAAAGAAAGATACTTCCTAAGAAGAAGAAAAAACAACAACAAGAGGAAGGAGCAGAAGTAGACTGTATAAGTAATATTAGTTTAAGTAGTAGTAAAAGTAGTAGTAGTAGTAGTATGAGTAGTAGTAGTAGTAGTAGTAGTAGTAGTAGTGATAGAAGTAGTAGTAGTAGTAGTAGTAGTAGTGGTAGTAGTAGTAGTAATAGAAGTAGTAGGAGGAGTAGTAGTAGGAGTAGTAGTAGAAGTAGTAGTAGGCTAGTAGTAGTAGCAGTAGTAGTAGTAGTAGGAGTAGTAGTAGTAGTAGTAGTAGGAGTAGTAGTAGTAGTAGTAGTAGTAGTAGTAATAATAATGATAATATTAGTAGCACAAAGTAGTAGTAGAAGTAATAATAGTAGTAGAAGTAAAAGTAGTAGTAGTAATAATAATAATAATAGTAGTAGTAGTAGTAGTAGTATTAATAGTAATATTAGTAGTAGTAGTAGTAATACAAGTAATAGTAGTAGTAATAGTAGAAGTAGTAGTAGTAGTAGTAGTAGTAGTAATAATAGTAATATTTGTAGTAGTAGTAGTAGTAGTAATACAAGTAATAGTAGTAGTAATATTAGTAGTATTAGTAGTAATACAAGTAATAGTAGTAGTATAGTAGTAGTAGTAGTAGTAGTAGTAGTAGTAGTAGTAGTAGTAGTAATAGTAGTTGTAGTAGTAGTAGTAGTAATAGAAGTAGTAGTAGTAGTAGTAGTCGTAGTAGTAGTAGTGGTTTTTAAGTTTATTGTAATTATACTGAACGTAAGATTCTTCCTAATCTGACTTGTCATTGACGGTGCAGATACTGGTGCCATCGCTTGTGACTTTGAGGCTGGTATGTGTGGGTACACTCAAGAGACTGATGATGAATTTGATTGGACTAGATGGAGTGGAGCCACACCCACACAGGAGACTGGTCCTTCGGTTGACCATACTACAGAGACAGGTGAGAATAGCAGATGGTACAAATGACCCAAAATATCCACAGATCTTTTACACATGGAGAAGTTCCACTTTGAGCATCTTAGAATGATAACTGCCAAAGTCCTAGATGTGCCTCGTGAATACCTTTTGTTTGACCTTTTGAAAAGAATACTTCCACCTGCGTATCATAGAAAGTACCGTTGGTGCATAAATGAAGATTCCATGACATTTGCTCTGGCGACAATTGCTCCGCTGTAAATTTCATACACTAATCGAATGGCTAACTTCAACCCTGGATTCAACACTATACCCTACCCTAAACCTAACCCTAAACCTAACATAAAACCCTATTGAAACCCTAACCCTAACCCTACATCTTAGACGAAATAAAGCCCGGAGCAATTGTCGCAGGAGCAAATGTCGTGTCACCTAAATGAATAATGTTACATAACTTTCATGAGCGCATATCGAGTATTCATCTCTGCGGGTTTTACCATTTTGGTACAAATGACCTTTATCTGCCCATGCGCAGATTGTATCTGTAAACTCCCTTATTGTGACGTGGTTGGGTTGATACGTCACCGGACTGTGGATCACTGTGGAATGCTCCCCAGGGAGTGGAGATAGTGCACATAGTTTATGTGGGCAAACACTGAATCCAATGACCGGGGTAATAGTATTTTTGTAAAGCGCTTAGAGATGTTTGTATTAAGCGCTATATAAAAGCTAAATATTATTATTATCACAAGATCCGTGGTTCGAATGCCGCTGCTGCACTCATGTCCTTTGGCGAAATATTGATTTACATTCGCCACACACAACCCAGGCGACATTACCGATAGGTACCCGGCAGAATTTATTTCCTTGAAATGCTAGAGCGCCGCAATAGCAGCCATGCTCAAGCCAGGGTAATAATAATCTGGAGCGGCAGGAGTTTTAATTCTGACAGATATGAGCGATATACAAGATCCCAATATTATTATTAGAATTGACTTTAACTTTTTACTTAACACATGTAACAATAGGCACAGTCGCTCGTTTCTCATGAGTGTCGATTGTGCTGAGTGTTGATTGGCACAAAACATGTTGGCACCAATTAACAGAAGAGCTGCTTTGTGCAACACAAAATCATTTCCTTCTCGTTTAGCTTCCTAAATAATACCTTTTAACGCTTGTATACAAGAGATGTATTAATAACATAAATATTCAAATAGTCTCGTAACATTTAAACATAATTCATTAAGGAATGCACATTGGCAAACGTTTATCATTCGAATGGTGGTGACTCATTAGGCCATTAATTAAGAATTGTATGAACCCATTATATAAACCATTCAGTTTCATTTGCATGGAATTCATTTGTTGCCGTCAAATAGTTCTGAGTGTTTTCTTATTTTTACCGTAGATGGAGCTGTAGATATCGCTTATTGTTATTACCAGAAGTGCATTCAATCTGTGTTAATATATTGGCCCTAATGCCCGTCCTGCTATCAACATACAATGTGACATCATTATTTTTCAATCACATTGCAGTTCTTATATCATTAACAATTTATACACCCTTTCACGGTTAAAGCCGCAATTTTATTTTGCGAGTTAACATTGCGTCATCAATATTTTCAGACGAGCATTTTTTGTTGCGTCACTGCCTGGGCTGCGCGCTCACATCACATAGACACGAGTTGTGCATGCTGCATCAAATAAAAGTTACTCGCAATTTAAAATGGCGCCCATGTACGCGCATACGCACTCTTTAAATCGTGAAACAGTGTATTATATTTCTTCTTACATGATTTTCCACCTGAATGCAGCGGATGGTTATTATGTGTTCATTGAAACCTCTGGACGCCAGGCTAATAACAAGGCTCGTCTGACCACGCCCATGGTTCAATCCTCAGCGAGTCAATGTGTGACGTTTTGGTATCACATGTATGGTATGGCAGTGGACGCCCTCAATGTCTATACCCGACGCAATGATGGTCAGCCGCAGCTTAGACTTGTATGGACCATGGTAGGGGAGCGGTCTGGTGATTGGTTGCTAGGTAACGTGCAGCTCAATGAACCAATCAGATATCAGGTCAGTTTATTTCAGAATGTATTATAAATGTATTGTAGTCAAACCTGTCTGTAGCGAACGCCCAAGGGAAACAAAACAAGTGGTAGTTGTAGACAGGTTACTTTAGTACATGTTTCGATTAAAAACCAATTTCAGGGAAAACAAAAAATGTGGTCTTTGTAGACAGGTGGTCACTAAATCAGGTTTGACTGTACCATGAATCTCTTGTATACGTGTATGTAAGTACATCATAAACACGGAATATTGCAGCTCCGTCCATGTTTTTTTCTTCTTCTTCTCTTCATATTTTCTTTTTCCATCCATTATTGCCTTTCAGTTTTACACACATAACATAATTGTTTTTTTTGCTGAATAAATCAATGCGTAGTAGAACACCTATTAAAATCAATTTGAAGGATCAACTTTTCTATTTCACAGTTGGCGATCATCCTATCATATTATTTGCAATGTAATTATAATGTAAATTCCAACTAGTATATGCCTTCATAAAAGTCAAGCGGTAATTAGATTGTCCAGTTTATTGATGCGAAAAACATTTGAAAAGTTTCAGGAAAGTGTTTGTACTACTGTCTCCTCAGTCATATAAAGTAGGCATTTTAAAGATATACCGCAATTTAAGTAACACCCAGTTGTCTCTCTTTGCTGCCCGAGCTCGCTAAGAATCAAGAAGCACTCCTTCCGCCCAAACTGCTGTCCTATTATTGTGTAATTTAGTATCTCTCCGATATCTCATTTGTTTAGAGATGTAATAGATATATATATATATATATATTTTTTTTTTTTTTCTTTAAACATCACAGCCCGAAATAAGTCTTCAAGCACACCTCTATTCAATATATCGCATGTAATAGTAAGAATTATATAACATCTAATTAGATCCTTGTCATTTGATTGGAGGATTGTTGATCACGTGATATTCAAGAAATAACCTATTGAACTACTACGTCATTGAGTATCCATTTTTGGTTATATTCGCCGTGCATTTTTGTTTTATCCAGCGTGCATTTCTATTAGATGTTATATAAAACAAAAATATATTTGTTTAGTTAGTCAAAATTGGGAATATTTTCATTCGTTGATAAAAAAAAATGTTCTATTGAACTCATAAACATTCATACTTTGTTATCCTTGCATGTTGTCTGATCAGGTGGTTTTCGAAGGAGTGGTTGGTCAGATCTACTTCGGGGATATAGCCCTGGATGATGTTAGTATATACGATGGACAATGTCCAGGTAATTACTATTAATATTTTATTGATGTTTAATATCACCTTGATAATTATAAATGTTTTCATATAAAATGTACCTTACCTAGGATTAAAATGAAGGTATATGAACTGGCAATCGAGTGACGTCATATTCCACCCTGGCTCGATGCCGAGGTTAATATATAATGGCTCGTTGGACTTTGGAAGTATCGTCACCTCACCGCTAGAATGATAGTTTAGTCATTGGCTAAACATCGCGGAAGTTCCCTTTATATTAAAACCCCACTGTACTACTAATAGCTACTTACGCCCTTTATATAGCAAACAATGCCAAAGAGGTACCCGTTGGTCCCCATGGTCCCCTTTTTCTTACGGTAATTGAGAGCTGATTTTTTTTAGATAACCACCTGTCAGTGACCACGCAGGAAGGTCTAACCCCGCCTGGCCAAACTAGTGCAGATAGGCTTTAAAGCCGATGATATTTACTGTATATCGTATTGAAACGTCACAATCCCTCTAACTGTTTGTATGGTTGAATAACTGTTGTATAACATGATTTCATCCTCATTTCTCTTTATTTTAATTCAAACCTTTGGCACAGCCTCGACAAGTTCAAATTTATTTGAACTTTTACAGTGACCCAAATTCCATTTAATTTCTTTGCCTTTAAATGTACTGATCAGTGACCTTCTGATGTTTGTATAACTTGTATTTCTTTCATTTTTTGCACTTGTATTATCTTTTATATACATATATGTTTGTTATTGAATGGAATGAATAAATCTTGAAATATTGAATCTTGAATCTTGAAATCTTTTCCTCATCAGCAACATCGACCTGTGAGTTTGAAAGCCCAAGTATATGTGGTTACCGTAACGACCAAACCGATGATTTCGATTGGTTGCGATGGTCTGGGGCCACGCCCACAGACAATACAGGACCCTCAGAGGATGTGACGTATAACACACAATACGGTAGGAAGTTAAATATTCAGTCTGTTTGGAACCCGAAGAGCAATAACTCATATTATCATATTCAGAGTGAAAGCCCTCCTGCCTCCAAACATACAGCGTGTTTCTATTCGAAACCATTATCCGGTTAATGGCCGATAAGGGATAAATTTGTCCTAATAAAAACTGACTTTCTCCGGCATTATCCGGATAATGCCCGGGAGAGATGCGACGCGTTCACCGGCAAAATTATCCCTCTTTTGGAAGGATAATGCAGGGGAAGCTAACCAATACATTATTAGGGACTTTTATATTTGCGTGGACTGATACGTGTGACGTCCATTCAAGGCAGTGCATTAAAAGGACGTCGATCGTAGCAATCCCGTTGTCGTTGTGCAAATCTAAAAGTCCCTATTAATGATTGACCAGCTACCTAACTAGTATTCCCACCAAGGATTAAACGTTTATTATAGTGATGCAGGTCGACACGTGAATTGACAATGAAACAATAACTATACCCAAGTAAATGGTTTCTTGCTGGAAAGATCTAAAAAGTGGCACAATATCAAAACTCGTTATGACGGTATGAAGTTTTGCGCACTTTTCTAATGTCTTAATTGTCGTTGTTTTAATTCAACAATGTCTCATAGATTTAGTGAAAATCCAATTGATGGAAAAATAAATGAAAGCTGTATAATATTTTGTATGGTATTCAAAACTTTTCCTTCGCATTTGAGCGACGAAATTATGTCATTAAATTGTCATTTTTTAGTAACTGCCTATTCGTTAACATAAATGGATTATCACGTGTTATTACTTTTTCACTTCCAGGTCACTACATGTATATTGAAGCTGATCCGCCTCAACTTGAGGGTGATACGGCTCGTCTGATTGGTCCACACATGTCACATGACTCAGATACGTCATCATGCTGGTCGTTTTACTATTACATGAACGGGAAGAACATTGGCAGTCTCGAAATCCTGGTAGGAATCCACCTGTCTGTTCTGAAAGTTATGAATAGGAGGGGTTTTAAAAGGGTTAGGAGGGGAATGGAGACCCCCCCCCCTCCTCCCCTCCCCCAAACAAATATACCAAAAATACAAGAAAATACAAAAAATAAATAAATACATAAATAAATAAATTAAAAAAAAAAAAAACAACAATAACCAACCAACAAACAAACAAATAAATAAAAAAAAATAAAAAAATAAATAAATAAACATATAAATAAATAAGTAAATACAAATCAAAATCAAACCGTCCTCTCCTAATATTCGCAAGGCATATGTAGAATGTGAAAGCTAGAACCCGGACGCCCCATAAGCCCTCCATCCCCGTATACGCGCTCATGGTTATGAACCTTTATTAAAGATGTGACTTAAAATTTGGTGGTAGCAGGGAAACATACTAACATTGTCTGGCTGTTGTCTTATTTTTAATTTGATTTTATCAATGATTTAATGATAAATCCTTTATCAAAAACTGGATTTCTTGCGGAAAAAGGCCTTATCTTTTACTTCATTTACATTCTAGTGGCAGCGGTGGGATATCCTTCTCACTTGACTTCTCTTGTCCGTTCAATCTATTGAAACTCTGCGAGTCTGATAACAAACTGAGTTGCTCTACGTGCGAAGTCCTCGAAACACAATGATTTACTTTTACTTTACTGTAAAACATTCGGGCTTATATATTTGTATGATTACTTGTAATACGTTGTCTGCTTTCAAACGTCAACTTAAGACTTACCTATTTCATATTGCTTACAACTAGCAAATACCCCATACTATTCTCGGGTTAATCGTTGACAGTATTTTGTTCTTTCTTATCAGCACCGTTGGTAATGCCTTTGATATAGCGCTCTCAAAAATTACCGGATTGGACTGGATATATGCTTTTTTATCACTCTTTTTTTCCAGCTGAACGCTAATTCCGCCGTCCCCTCCACACTGATGACTGTATCTGGGAACCAGGGACCGTACTGGAAGAGGGAATCGATTGAGGTTCATTCTAATGGATATGAAATCATCTTTCGGGGCGTGGTCGGGAATGGAACAGAGGGCGACATCGCTATTGACTCCGTAGATGCCGTCGAAAGAAGTTGTTGTAAGTCTCGTCTCGAGTTAATTACTCCAGTGACTCCAGTTTGTTCGGAAAATATATTTTATTTTGAATACCCAATGCGTGTAATATTCCGATTCAATGATATTAGTCCACATACTTTGGCTTTGTAATATGTTGCATCTTTGTCACCAATGAAACCAGGAGACAACATTCGCAAGTCTTAAAGTAACTCGGTAACATTGCCTCAGATTCTGAAACAAAATCCTGGATTTAGCTCAGACATGCTGCAATCATAATTATAAACCTGTAGGTCAGTCAGGAATCCCATGACTTTTACAAGCCGATCGCCTGTCTGATTATCAAGATATTTATGAGTGGAAATCAAAATTTCATTTTCCGTTTTCCTAACAGTTCTTAATATAACATTGCAGTCTATTGTGGTAAAACTGGTCACTCAAAGATTTTTTACTTTTATTGAGGCACTTCTTGATCATGTTGAGGCGCAATTTCTTTATTGCTTCAATATTACACCATATCACAAACTCAGTAACACATTGGGGCCATGCATGTCAGATGTAATATTGTTAAACGATGCCTTTAACGCCTGTTTTTAAAAATGTACATTTTCCCTTTCCATCTGTAGTGAGCTGTGACTTTGAGGAGAGCTTCTGTAGCTGGGAGAACGTAGAGGGCAGTGACTTTAATTGGATCCGATGGAAAGGACCAACTACCACCCCTGGAACAGGACCAGATACGGACCACACCCTTAGAACACCTGAAGGTGAATATGGAAACCTAAAGACTCTGTTTCATGATACAAGACCTTACCCATATCTATAACATAAAATAATGTCAGTAGTTTATAATAAATGTTGTCTCGCTATTGATGACAAGTCTCATGAAACAGGTATATCGAGACTCCATGATATCACAGGTCGCAAATTGTACGGGGAGGAAGGGGTGGGGTACTTTCGGCGACTCTCCTTCCGTTCAACAAATATATATGTTGTTATAACTCTAGATTATCTAGTATAGATGATATATTGACTGCTATGAGAGGCATGGCTGTTTATATAGGCTCAAGGGTACGTTACATCATGATATGACCCCGAGGCGAGGCGAGGTCTGGGTGTTAATTAGTAGGGATTGTCTAGAGCATCTGTAGATCAGCCTGGCACTCGAGAAGTAAGCCGAGGGTGGGTGAGAATGTTTCAAAGGTACGAAGGGTGGATAATTCTTCTTACTCCAGAAGGATCCTTGTCATGAGATAAATCACTCTCTACCATAATGTCACAGATCAAGAGTCAACTGACATGCAT